TCTTTCGTTTAAACATCAGCGGATGAGACCAAACTGAAAATGATGCAGGAAGTCAGTGAGAATTTTGAGGTGAGCCCTTATATTTTGCTTATAAAAAAACTTGAAAGGAAAGATGCTTCCTCATTAATTCATGTTAATCCTATTCCACAGAATGTCACATCCTCGCCACAGTATTCTACTTTCTTGGAGCATATCATCCCTCGTTTCCTAACGTTTCTGCAGGATGGAGAAGTGCAGTTCCTTCAAGAGAAACCAACACAGGTGTGCTTTAGTAAAAATCATATTGCATATTGTCTTTATTAAGGCCTCATTCCTGACATTTAAATATACATGAGGTGTCTTTAACTCTTTTTATAGCAATTACGAAAACTTGTCCTGGAGATCATCCACCGAATCCCAACTAATGAACATCTCCGGACTCATGCCAAGAACATCCTTTCTGTCATGTTCCGCTTCCTTGAGGTCAGCTTTCTTTACCTGAATGCCAAGCTTATTCTAATGTAAAGAGCCAATAAAATAGCTTTAGAATTCTCATTTTATAGAGCATTTTTGGACAAATATTTGTATATGTAACTACATGCAAGAGGGACAGCAGAGACACAATGATGAGAGCGATGTACTTTTGTCCAGTGAATGGTACTGTGTAAGATTGTGTGTGTGTGTGTGAACTGTAAAGTACTAATGAGCCTGGGCGCTGAAAGTAACACTGATAAGATCTAAGTGTCCAAATGCTGATCTGTGTAAATTCTTACTTGATTGATTTGTCTTAACAACAAACAAAAAAATAGTGGTTATATAAGGGGAATAAATTACATGAAAATAGAAAACAGTTCATTTAAGTTTCTTACAAAGGAATCAGCAGGTATATTAAATAATTTATTTTACAAATGTAATGCATCGTCTTGTGTGAGTGTGTGTATATTTTATGTTTGAATAATAGCTCTTTGCCTCTGTGCTTCATCATTTAGATTGAAAGTGAGGAGAATGTGCTCATTTGTTTACGGATCATCATTGAACTGCATAAACAGTTTCGCCCGCTGATCTCTCAAGAGGTGAGATGCAGCCTTCTGGCACTCTGTGATGTTGACTAGCATTTACGTTTCCTATGTTTCAGTAAATGTTATTAACTAACATCTTCCTTCCAACTCTTACAGATTCATCATTTTTTGGACTTTGTGAAGCAAATTTACAAAGAACTGCCTAAAGTAGTGGTAAGGTGTTTTCACAAAAAATGGGTTTAAAGTATACGTTTGTGTTAAAAGTATGTGTTTTCTGAACCTATGTCTCTGTCTGTCAGACGAGGTACTTTGAGAATCCTCAGGTTATAGCAGAAAACACAGTGCCTTCTCCAGAAATGGTGGGCATGATCACCTCAGTATTGGTGAAGACCGCACCGGAGCGTGAGGACAGCGAGACCCGGACGGTCAGTACCAACTCCAGCACCTGTGCAAAATCCTCATTAGCTGAGTAGTTTTGACAAATATGATCAGCAGGAACACAATGATGAGAGCGATGTGCTTTAGTCCAGAGAATGGTACTGCGTGTAAGATTGTGTGTCTGCATGTGTGTTTGTGTGTGAGTGAACTGTAAAGTACCAATAAGCCTGGATGCTGAAAGTAAAACTGATAAGATCTGAGTGTCCAAATGCTGATCTGTGTGTCTTAATGAATAAAATCTGGCAATATTCTAGTAGTAGTTGTAGCTTAATGTTATTATGGTATAATTCTTTGATCTTGTTAACACAGTCATGAGTAACACCTGTATTGCATGATCTGATCACAGTTGATCAGCCGCTTTACACATGGTAGTAGCACATCAGTGTGTAAATGTATATTGCTAAAGCAGAAAAACATAATTTTTCCAATTTATTCAGTTGGATGGTTATTTTTTATTTAAAACTTGCTCATAAATGGCAAAACCCTATTTTGTGCAGTGATTGACAGGCAGGTAAGTGGTTTTTCACTGCTGTCTTGGATACATTAAGATGGTTAGCGTTTACTGTGACCACCACAATATGTTACCCTGGACCACAAAACCAGTCTTAAGTGTCAATTTTTTCAAAAGATGTATGGTTTGTTAGGATAGCACAATATTTGACCGAGATGCAACTATTTGAAAATCTGGAATCTGAGGGTGCAAAAAAAGCGAAATACTGAGAAAATTGCCTTTAAAGTTGTCCAAATGAAGTTCTTAGCAATGCATATTACTAATCAAAAATTAAGTTTTGATATATTTACGGTAGGACATTTACAAAATATCTTCATGGAACATGATCTTTACTTAATATCCTAATGATTTTTGGCATAAAAGAAAAATCTATAATTTTGACCCATACAATGTATTTTTGGCCATTGCTACAAATATACCCCAGCGACTTAAGTTTTGTGCTCCAGGGTTCACATATGTGCATTCAGTCACAAAACTTGTTTTTTTTTTGTCCTCTTTGTGGACTGTTTACTTTCCAAGAGTTTTCCAATGCAAATTACATTTACTTTATGTAGACACTAGAGGGCACCCAATTCCTGCTTATGCTCATTCTTGCTTAAGAGTTGCTGAAATGCAGTTGCTTATAGTTTTTTTTTTTTTAAATGTCAACACAAAAAGCAAATCCATATGGGTGCCAAAACAAAAAGTTTTATGGTGACAACTTGTTCAATCTCTCAGTGGCCTCATCCATCTCCTCTTTGTCCTCCAGCATACCATAATCCCCCGGGGATCGCTGTCACTCAAAGTGTTGGCAGAGCTGCCCATCATCGTTGTACTCATGTATCAGGTGAGAGCCCATAAAAACACTAATTCAGTATTGACTATATGCCAGCCATCCTCTTTTTAAAAGGACACGTCCCTCATTTAGACATTTGGCTCGTTTATAAAAGGTGCCGTCAATCAACTGAAACCCATACTTTATAGCTAAATCCATTGTTTTCTCAAACCTGCCACTCTTAGCAAAATGATTGTTGTGATTAGATGTTTTTGCCTTTGTCATTATGAGTTTTAATTGTAAAGGCAATCAGTTTTGAGTCAGAAAATGACAGTCCGCAGCTGTTAGGAAGCTACGATCAAACAAAACACAGCTTTTGTTTCACCTTCTCTGCATGCTATCATTATACATTTGACCAGCAGGTGTACTTCTTTTTTTTCGGCTTAAAATATAGCAGCCACAAATATCACGATACTGCTTTCAGAAGTATGGCATGAAAATTTTCTCAAATCCTCAGGGTTTATGATTCGTTTTTAAAATTATTGTATTTATTGGTGGAATTTGCCTTTGAGTCAGACTCTAAAGTTCTGTTTTGAATCCATGAATCTTATAAATGGTGTAAAATGTTATGCAACAATGTTTCAAGCAGGGGTCTACTTTCTGTCTGTTGCCCCGCTGTTATTTGATGCACTAATTGCTTTCCTGTATGGCATTTTTCCTAGCTGTACAAACTGAGCATTCACAACGTGGTGTCGGATTTTGTGCCTCTTATCATGAACACCATCATGCTGCAGGTGTCTCCGCAGGCTCGGTCAGTGAACTCTTGCGTCTCGTTGAGCGGGTGGTATCACATCACCGCTAATGCATTTCATAGATGCAGTTTAACACATAGTGACATTTAATGCTTTTCCTGGTTTCTGCCCGTGACAGGCAACACAAACTGTTCAACAAGGAGCTGTATGCAGATTTTATCGCCGCACAGATCAAGACCTTGTCATTCCTCGCTTACATTATCCGGATCTACCAGGTAGCGTGGCATCATAGCTCAACCACCTGTTTATTAAACTTTTCTAAACTTGTTTTAATACTCATGCAGTGACTAATGTGGCAATGTTAAACGTTGTGTGTCAGGACTTGGTTGGGAAGCACTCCCAGCAGATGGTGAAGGGGATGCTGCAGCTGCTGTCTAACTGCCCCCCTGAGACTGCTCACCTGCGGAAAGAGCTCCTGATCGCTGCCAAGCACATCCTCACCACCGATCTACGCAGCCGTGAGTCATCCACTGCTAAACACTTTGCAGATTGTTGGCAGATATTCCCAAATAAGATATGCAAAGCGTTCGCTATTGTAGGAGCGCTCGCATCTGGTGTTAATTATCATGGGGTACCGCTTTGATATGTAACGGCTGCATTCTCTTTGAGCTTCACCTCTCAATCAATAGCATTTGAGAGAGGAATCTGATACACTCTTCTAAATCATTAATCCTGTAGAGAAGGTTAAATGAATCGATGAGAAACCCTGACTGTTGAGCTCTGGCATTGATGTATCTCATGGTTCATAGGCCCCTGAGCTGTTTCGGTGGGCTTCAGAGCCTGCGATGGCATCTGATAAAGTCTGTTTGTGTTGCAGAATTCGTTCCATGCATGGACAAGCTTTTCGACGAGTCAATACTCATTGGCTCAGGATACACTGCGAGAGAGACGCTGAGGTAAGAATGCAGATTAACCCTCTATAAACCAATATTATGTTTCAAGTATAAGCAGTCTGTGCAATTTGCAGGGCACACATTTAACCCTCAAAGCCTAGTAAGCTGCCTACCTAGGCAGCATTGCAAGGCATTGCAGATCCGCTCATGAGGCTAAGTGTCTTTTTAAAAAGTAGGGAGCACTAAACCAATATTATGTTTCAAGTATAAGCAGTCTGTGCAATTTGCAGGGCACACATTTAACCCTCAAAGCCTAGTAAGCTGCCTGCCTAGGCAGCATTGCAAGGCATTGCAGATCCGCTCATGAGGCTAAGTGTCTTTTTAAAAAGTAGGGAGCACAGTTATGACTCATTTTGGCCAAATTCTAAGGTAGGATACATGCTGTGCTCTGCAGAGAAGGCAATCCCAAAATGCATTTCAACAAGCAAATTAAAAAAGTATGTTGGCAAATAATATGCTTTTTTTTTTTAAAACCACTTACAACATAAAATCCAAATGCACAAAGCTCGGCACTTTCAACAATAGAAGGATACATGCATTGAGAAAAGAGAGAGGTGTCTTTTTAAAAAGTAGGGAGCACAGTTATGACTCATTTTGGCCAAATTCTAAGGTAGGATACATGCTGTGCTCTGCAGAGAAGGCAATCCCAAAATGCATTTCAACAAGCAAATTAAAAAAGTATGTTGGCAAATAATATGCATTTTTAAAAAAAAAAACACTTACAACATAAAATCCAAATGCACAAAGCTTGGCACTTTCAACAATAGAAGGATACATGCATTGAGAAAAGAGAGAGGAAATAATAAATTAATAAAACCAAATTTATAAGACTGGCGCATAATGATATACCATTCCTCAAAGTATTACAATTATATTATCAAGATATAGAGTCCAGATATTTTGAAAAGATTCCGTTGACGAATGGCAAAGCGATATGTTGATTATAAATTAACATGTATTTATTATTGAAATTGTAATATTAGAGATGTTTATTAAAAATATCAGCTGATAGATATATGCTGATAATTATTTTCGTGTTATGGATGGAATTATTAATTAAATCAGTTGTTTTAAATGCTACAAGTGATTTACAGTGGCATGATGATGATGGCAAAGGTAAATGTAAAAACAGAGAACATAAGCATACACAAATTAAATGTCCAGAATCGTCCAATATGATAACTAAAAATAAATCCGATAACAGCTGGTCATCAATGGTGATACTGACACATTGTTTCATTCATTTAAGCAGAATATAATGTTAATTTGGGTTTGAGTCGTTCATTCATCACGTGACAGTCTCATTGGTATAAGGCTATGCAGTCTGTGCCGGAAACAGAAATGAAGACTCAGAAGATGAACTAATCATTTCTGTATCTTGTACAGAACCTATAGGATGTTGCACATGTGCGGTCAACACAGAATGAACGAATCACTCTCTGTGAGCAGCTGATAGATATATGCTGATAATTATTTTCGTGTTATGGATGGAATTATTAATTAAATCAGTTGTTTTAAATGCTACAAGTGATTTACAGTGGCATGATGATGATGGCAAAGGTAAATGTAAAAACAGAGAATATAAGCATACACAAATTAAATGTCCAGTATCGTCCAATATGATAACTAAAAATAAATCCGATAACAGCTGGTCATCAGTGGTGATACTGACACATTGTTTCATTCATTTAAGCAGAATATAATGTTAATTTGGGTTTGAGTCGTTCATTCATCACGTGACAGTCTCATTGGTATAAGGCTATGCAGTCTGTGCCGGAAACAGAAATGAAGACTCAGAAGATGAACTAATCATTTCTGTATCTTGTACAGAACCTATAGGATTTTGCACATGTGCGGTCAACACAGAATGAACGAATCACTCTCTGTGACAACTCACCGTTCCTGTCATATTAAAGATTTGTTCAAAATGAACAAATCGTTCAAGAACGACCCATCACTAGCTACGACTTGTACCAAGTGACCGCTATATCACCTGACCACCGCAGGCTCTGTTTAGGCATTGATAATGTGGACATATACTGCGTTCACGCCATATCGTAATTACCGTAATTTTCAAAATGAACAAATCGTTCAAGAACGACCCATCACTATCATGCATCCTCTTGAAAAATTAAGTCTATGTCCAGTATTTAAGCGTGCTTTTTGTTCTTAACAAAACATTAAAACTATTAAGCAACATATTGTTAGCTTGGCAACAAAATGTTGTGAGAAGCACTTTTTATATGTAGAGGGTAGGGCTGGGCGGTATATCGAGTTTGTACGATATATCGATATTTTCTTTATAAGTGATTCGATATGAGGCAATACCGTTTATATCGATATACAGTAGTTTGATATGAGCGCATCTGAAAATATAGCGGAGGACACAGACTGAGCTGCTGCGGAGAAAAGGCATAATCCAATTTGTTCTAAACATGTGACAAGCTTCATATTAAGGTCTTTAAAAACTGGTAAGACATAGTTTATAGTTTGGTTTCGCATATTAATTTAAGTGGCTCAGCCCGTCATTTGCTCTGACTGAAAGGCTGCATGTGCCGCTGACAGAGACACTCGGCTACTCGCGCTGTTTAGTGTGTTTGAGATGTGCTGTCTTCCTGAATGCATAACTTACATTTCACATGTTTAGTCTCCATCTGTAAATGTTAGAAAGCCATGGGAATATTTCCATTTTTCTGTCAGAAGTGCATGAGCCTTCTGCTTTTGGATTTTCCGCTAAACTTCAGTGAACGAGCGCCGCCGCGCGCCAAACAGACAGAGCTCAATTAAATAGGAGTGCAATAATTCTGACTAAAATATACATTTCGCTGAAATATTTGTAGTTGGACAAGAAATGTGACATGTAGAATTTTAAACCTACAAGTAAGTCTATTTTTATGATAGCACTGACTGTAAAGTGACTGTAATGGGGTAATCAAAATAGCCTAACACAACTCTGTGCTTTTGTTCTAATTTATTTTCAGTTTATTTATTCATTTTTAGTTTATTGTGAATTTAACTTCCACTTTAAAAGCCTTATTTTTGTTTATAGATTGCAATGTTACAATGTTAGAATGAAATGTGATTTTAACCCTTTTTTGCACATAATATAAATGCTTACATGGTTGCATTCACTTTATTTGTTTTCATAGCCTATAATATGTATTGTTTTGTTGGACAACATTGGGCGGTAAGTGAAATATATATATTAAATAAAAAAAATTCAAAATCCAAATGGAAAAACGAAAATACCGAGATATATACCGTATATCGCAAATCGGCCAAAATATACAGAGATATGAATTTTTGCCCACATCGCCCAGCCCTAGTAGAGGGTTACAAGGCAGTCACTTATAAGGTTCTATTTCTTTTCGGTTGCTCTCTTAGAAGGCAGCTGACTATGTAGACAGCAAGGTAGCTGACTAGGTTTTGGAGTGGAACCAGCCATAATTATAAAGTGTTCATGTTATTGTCATTTTTCAGTGTGGCTAGAGGCCACAATCTTTTTCCTTCCAAGTTTCTTTGGAGAAAAAAAAGTTAGAGTTCATCAAGTGCAACATATCAGAATTGATTGTTAATGGTGCGTGACTTAGCTGAGTTGCCCCACTGGGCAGAAGTGATCCAGGTGCCCGTCTTCATGTGCCAGGCTGTCCTGGCATTGCCCCCACTGTCTGTCTCCCTGCCCCAGATGTCATATGCCTGCCAACACCACCCCTCTTTCATCCACGGCTTCCATCAGCCTTCAGCAGGCAAATTTGGCAGGACTCAAAATCTGTCAAAGCCATTAGTGTCGTTTATTCTGAAACTTTGCCTGAAATCCCCCTAGTATCGACCCAAGATATTATTATTAGCCAAGGCTGAGAGCTATTTGTTCTTTGAGGGTTGGTTTTGATCAATTTCAGGCTGGGGATTCCACACCACAAGAGTAGGGATGTCTGTAACAAGTCAATAGCACTATAAAATGAAAATAAAATGACGTTACACTATTGTTTAAAAGTTTGGGGTCAGTAAGATTTTTGAAACTAATAGTTTTCTTCAGCAAAAATGCATTAAATTGATCAAAAGTGTCAGTAAAGACATTTATATTGTTACAGAAGATTTCTGTTTCAAATAAATGTTCTTTTGAACATTTTCATCTGTGAAAATGCTAAAAATCTTTTGAATGGTAGTGTACATTTGTGCATGAGCAAATGTAGTTAAACATGGCCGTTTTGGTGAAGGGTTAAACAATGACTTGTGTCTCATGCAAACAGGCAGGCCAGTAATGGAGAGTACCATGGTATCGAAATTGCTTCTGAGAATCGTGAAATTGTACTAATATTGGTATCAACTGTTGAAGTTTCAGTTTTGTCACAACCCTAAAGGTGATGATACAAGGGGCAACTTTTTTGAGCAATGTTGCTTGGGCACAACCAATTTCAATCTGGATACTTTAGATCGGTCGTGTGTCTCACCTGGTTACCCGTTGACAGCAACATTGCTCAAAAAGTTGCCCCGTGTATCATCACCTTAACAGAACTCCTCTAGAAAGCTTAGATTATGTTGTCTAACAGTGAGTCTCTTGATGTTTCAGGCCCTTGGCATACAGCACACTAGCAGACTTGGTGCACCATGTTAGACAGAACCTCCCGTTGACGGACCTCTCCCTGGCTGTGCAACTGTTCGCTAAGAATATTGACGATGAGTCCCTCCCCAGCAGTATCCAAACCATGTCCTGTAAGCTGTTGCTAAACCTTGTAGACTGCATCCGATCAAAGAGCGAACAGGAGAATGGAAACGGCAGAGACATTCTCATGAGAATGCTGGAGGTGAGGTAGACGTTGTGATTGTAATAACAATGGGCTACAAGATGCCACTGACTGGCCATATGTAAATGCATTTGTAAAGCACAAAAATATTGGTCTGACATTATATGATTTCTATATTCTCAGGTGTTTGTGTTGAAGTTCCACACCATTGCACGGTACCAGCTGGTATCTATCTTTAAGAAGTGCAAGCCCCAATCAGAGATGGGTGTGGTGGACTGCATCCGATCAAAGAGCGAACAGGAGAACGGAAACGGCAGAGACATTCTCATGAGAATGCTGGAGGTGAGGTAGACTGGCACATTAGCCTGTGTAAACTACGTTGTGATTGTAATAACAATGGGCTACAAGATGCCACTGACTGGCCATATGTAAATGCATTTGTAAAGCACAAAAATATTGGTCTGACATTATATGATTTCTATATTCTCAGGTGTTTGTGTTGAAGTTCCACACCATTGCACGGTACCAGCTGGTATCTATCTTTAAGAAGTGCAAGCCCCAATCAGAGATGGGTGTGGTGGACACAGGGGCATTACCAGGAGTCCCAGCCACCCCTACTGTAACTACACCCGCCTTACCTCCACCTGCACCCCCAACACCTGTCACCCCTGCACCACCACCGGCCACACCTTTTGATAGACCTGGGGACAAGGAGGACAAACAGACCTTCCAGGTGTCCGACTGTCGCAGTCTGGTGAAGACTCTTGTGTGTGGAGTGAAAACTATCACATGGGGCATCACTTCTTGTAAAGCTCCTGGAGGTGAGATGGATGAACTTTTACTTGGCTTTAGATTGGGCCAAATCATTTAATGTTAGTTCTGTTTAACATTTTCTTTTTGTCTGGTCTGTTGAAGTTTGTGAAGCCTGTCAAAGTAATTAAAGGGCTACCTCTGCTCAGCATTCCCATTTGAGTATTCTCACCTTGGTATTAGTGGTCGGCCGATATACAGTATCGCCGATAAGTTTTCCTCTTTGGCTGATGCGTTCGAGGTGGGACTTTTATTTTGACGGCGCTGAGAACAGCAGCACCTGAGCACACAGTGCTTACATTCTCCCTCTTGTTCGCTGTGGTTGTTCAGTTCTGTCTAATATGGATTATCTAATACGTATGTCTAATAATCAGATAGAACGGTTAAACAAAGGAATTAAAATGTATACAAAAAGTATTGTAACGATTGCTTTTATATTATTAGTAATAGAAAGGCAAACGTTATAATACTTATTTGCTGTCAGCATTCAGCAAATACGCATTTATATAATTTAAACAAATCTTTGAATGTCTAATAAACATCTAATTTCAAAAACCTTGCAAACTTAGTCGGATCCAGTTGTGAGATCTTGTGAAGTGTGCATTTGTATCCTGCATGATGGCGTGTTCTTTGCATGACGGTCGATCCGTGAGAATTGAATGTGGACAGGAGGAGAGTTCAGCTTCACTGGAGACGCGCGATCGACAAACTTTAAACTCGTGATTTTAAATTATGCTGTGCTTCATGCATTTGCCCACTGTATATTCATGTCATTTTCGCTGTGTGCTGTATGTAAAATGAGTGTTACCTTGACTTTATTTGAAAAAATTATGATTAATGCACACAAACTTCCCAGAATACTGAGTGCCCTGTTGGTTACAGTGTTTACTTCCTTTTTAATTATATTTTTATTATATATTTATTTGTGAAAAATACTTTGTCATCTAAAGTATAAGTACGTTTATTTAACACATTTATTTTTTAAATACGTTTTCAAATGATTTCAAATTTCTTAAATATTAATTAAAATAAATACAATTATATTGGCTTTATATCGGCCATCGGCCACCCTGCTTTCCAAGATATCGGCATCGGCTGTCAAAAAACTAATATTGGTCGACCACTACTTGGTATTGTTGTATTACAGAGGCACAGTTCATTCCCAACAAGCAGCTCCAGCCCAAAGAAACACAGATCTACATCAAGCTGGTGAAATATGCCATGCAGGCCTTGGACATCTACCAGGTACGACCGTCCACTGATTACCACACCAAAACACAAATCCTTACACAAAGTCGTAAGACCAGAATGGCTGAGGTGTGTAAAACTGAAAGTCCTATTATGTTGCCACATCTCAGTACGTAAAAAAATAATTTTATCCAAGCGCATGTGATACTGAGAGCTGAAGTTTACAGCTTATCACAGAGCCAACCCCCTTTTGGCTAGGTACAGATTGCCGGCAATGGGCAGACGTATGTTCGTGTGGCTAACTGTCAGACGGTGCGGATGAAGGAGGAGAAGGACTATTTTAAATAAATGCTGTTCATTTGAACTACTTATACAGCAACACATCCTGACATTTTTTTATTATCATGGTATCTACAAATTAGGGCTGGACAATAATTCAATATCAATATGCATCACGATATAATTTTTTTTCAATAACGGTGATATGATTTTTAAACACATTTCCTATATTTCGATATACATTACCAGTGTTTCTCATACATTGATTTATTTGTGGCGTTTTACTTCCTTGAGTAAACATGAGCACTGCACTTTCAAAATCAAAACGCGTCGCGGGTGTTTTATATGAATGTATCTCTGAAGGGAACCGACTGTCTTCAGAAAAGTTTCGATGGCATTTTTATTTTATCTGATAAAGTAGCATTCTATGCGGAGCTGCTTTGTTTACAGCCATTACTGGGGAAACCGCTAGTTCTACCGCTCTCACAGCGCCTCCTGCTGGCAGACAAGCAGTTTGCATTTTCAATAATAAGCCCGTCTCCAGCAACATACTTTTGTTGTTGCTCAATTTTTTTGTTTTCTGCAGCAACTCGGAGCACTTTTCATACTCTTTATCCTGGCTGAAGCACATTTGTTTCAATCTATAAGAATAATCAGCCTACACTACCAGTCAAAGGTTTAGAAATTAATACTTTTATTTAGCAAGGATGATTTAACTTGATCAAAAGTGATGATAAAGACATTTATAATGTTACAAAATATTTATATTGCAGATAAATGCTGTTCTTCTGAACCTTCTATTCATCAATGAAACCTGAAAAAATTAAACGCTGTTTTCAATATAATAATAAATGTTTTTGAGCAGCAAATCAGAATATTAGAATGATTTCTGAAGGATCATGTGACTGGAGTAATGATGCTAAAAATTGAGCTTTGAAATCAAAGGAATAAATTACATTTTATATATATGTAAATTTATATTTTATATTTCCAAATGGAAAACAGTTATTTTACACAACTGCTTTCGACATTGATAATAGGAAGAAAAATTTCATGATCACCAAATCAGCATATTAGAATTATTTCTAAAGGATCATATCACACTGGAGTAATGGCTTCTGAATTTTCATAATATTACTTTTTTTTTGTTTTACTGTATTTCTTGATCAAATAAATGTAGTCTTGGTTAGCATGAGACTCATTTAAAAAAAAAACATACTGACTCCAAACTTGAATGGTAGTGTAATTGTCTGTCAAATCCATGTTTAGTAAAATATAATAATTATATATATATATATATATATATATATATATATTTTAAAATATATATTTTTTTTTTTTTTTTTTTTTTTTTTTTTTTTTTTTTTTTTTTAAAAAACAGTTTTTAAGGGCAGAGTTTAGGTAAGTTTGTGAGCGCAGAGCTTATTTGAGTACAGCTGATTACTGGGGAAACCTGATCTCTCACTCTCTACAAGCACCTCCTGCTGGCAGAGAATGAATTTGCATATATATGCCGCCACAAATAGAGTGCAAGTCTGAGGGAAACACACCACTTCTGTTATGAATATTATTCAATATTTTAATTTGAATGTCGGATTGAAATGAACGCTGTTATTGGAGTAGTTAATCGTTAGCATAAGTGCAGCTAACGCTAATATAATTAGCATTAGAATGAAGTTAATGCTCATATAACTTTTATTAGGGTAAAAAAAAAAAACAAGGAGGACATGATTACTATTTTTACACACCAGAGGCTTTTAAATGAATTGTGAATCTAAAATGTTCGTGTTAGAGAATGTACAAATGGTTAACATTGTGTCATATCAGTCAGAAAAGCAGTTCTAGGCTTTTTTTTGTTGTTTTTTTAAACTAAATTAGTTGTTATTCTTGGCTGAGTAACTCTTGAAGGTTTTCAAAAGCCCTTTAAAATTAAATATGTATGCAGTTTGGATTAAATGAAAGTATAGTCAAATTTTTTAATTAGCATATTTTTGTGTTTTGCTTTGGTACAGAGAACCGCGGATTTTCACTGGTATTGGTACCGAATACTGAAATTTTGGTACCGTGACAACACTATACTGCAGTATGATTAAATATATTCTCTGTAGGCCTGTCGCAATAATCAATATATCGACTTATCGCGCAATATATGTACATGACCTCAATCATTTTTGGTGACGCAATATATCGCCCAGTATATTTACTTAAAAATTTATGTCACCATGTTTTGCACATTCCACTTGAGCCAGTGTCTTTTGCAGCTTCTCGTACATAACGTGGTGTAGTCATGAGGTGCTCGTTCACATTTAAAACATGCTTCTACAATCAAAGTTTCATCTGCAAAAGAAAAGAAAGTCAGGGAAAAATCTGTTGATGGAAAATTTTTCTTTTTTTCTACTTGTTTGCACTTTTTGTTAGAAAATGTTTATTTACTATTTATTCAGATTTTTTAAGGTATCTAATATTTTGATACTTAATTTCCATGATCTAAATATTCTTAAAAATTAAAAGTTTGTTGTCATTTGGAAGTATGTAGGCCTTCATGCATTATTATGCTGTTACATTATGATTATATATTCAGTGGCATAAAATGGTCTTTAAAATGACAATAATATCGCTTATCGCAATTATTTCTGGGGCAATATATCGCACAACAAAAAGTTGTTATCGTGACGGGCCTAATTCTCTGCAGGTTACAGAATGAATGGCGGCACTGTGTTCATTTATGTGTGTACATTACATTACATTTGCAGATTTACGTGAACACAGTGCCAGCCTTCACTCTGAGACAAGCATTTATTTGGTAAAAAATGCTGAATTAAAAAGCTTGATAGTTTAACGTATGAAAATTAAGAAATTAAAATGTAAATATTAGTTTTGTACTTTTAAAGTTGTACTATGAAGTAAAATGTTTACAGTATAATTTATAATAGCATTATTACATTCTTATTTTAGCATTATTTCTTATTTCGTTTACTTGTGTAATCACAAAAAAAAAATCACAAAAATGTATTATTTAAATATCGCATTGAATGGGTAAAAAAATGGTTGTTACCTATGAAAATTCAAATAGAAAGAATTTTTTATTTTTCAAGTTTTGAAATGTCAAAAAAGCACTAAAAAAGATCCATATGAGTATTCCAAAACCATACAACAGATCAAAATTCAAGTGTGGCTTCAGAAGACTTTTCAGCAGGATATCCAGTTTTACTTAATTTTAAGGAAAAGTGTGGCTAGTACATTCTTCAACATGTTGTCCTTTAAGCTTCAAATGACATTTTCATTTATGTTTCAGTTATTCCTTAGGTATAACTGAATAGGAAGCAATAAGAAATTGCTATTCATAATTAACAGTGCCTTTTCGGTGCTTTTGAAGATTCAGGTTGAGTTTGAGGTTGATTTGAGATGAATGCACTTGTGTTGGTTGTCTTTAAGGCCTCTCAGAGAGCCATAAGAGGTTATGTTATGTTTTTAAAAACAGTATTACTGCGGCATATGGAAACACCACTTTCTGGCTTGCTTGAGAGCAATCTCAACAAACAGTAACACATCCACTTCCTCTTATATGTCAATTTGCCCTCAATATATGTGTGAAAGGGGGAGGTTCAGGGGTTGGAAGAGGGATTCTCGTCATGTAATGAATCCTTGTCAAAGCTTAGTGTGTGCAGAAAGGCATCGTCTTCCCCAGGTAATTAAATAGATCATCAGGCTGTAAGCTGTGCTCATCTCTTCCCTCCTGCCCACCCCCCCTTTAATCAATCTCTCCCTGCTGTGCAGACGGGATTATTTACTCCAGCTAATGGCCCTTCCTGCTGCTCATCACTGCTTGGGAAAACACAAACTGTCATTTCTGTAATTGTGTTCACTCCACAAAGATGAATGCTACCACCATTGCGCCATCACTGCTTAATTTCGTTTGCATGCGCCCTGTGGTTGCCGCAGGCGGCAGCTGCTGTTTGCAGCCGCCCGGAGTCCAGCGATGTGTTTGGATCGAGACCGACAACAACTCATTCTGTCCCCCATAGGACCGGCCTTCACTCTCAAAGCATGCACACTTATTTCAATATGTGTAAGTATTTCCAAGCGCAGTTCGATTTGGACACCAGCCGAACTGATCTGCCTTCCCGTTTAATATGAATCAGTTCTTCGTTCCTCCTCTCCAGGAACCCAGACGGTTGTAAATGAGATCTAATGCTGCGTACTTCAAGAACATTTTCTGTGAAACTTCAATATAGAAAGTCAGAGACAGATTGCGCTCCCGCCAGCACTGATGGTCTCTCTTGCTTGATTAATTTTGCCCATATTTAGCTGATTTACAAGCATCATGATATTAAACGAAGTTGAAACATTCAGACATGGTGTCAGAGTCCCTCACAAGGGGTTCCTATACTCATGTTCTCCACCCTGCTGAGGAGGAGCAATGTGAGAAAAACTCATGCTTATATATGGAACACACACACATTTTTAGGGGCCAGGCCTCCACTGTAGAGGCCTTGAGCTTTTGAAAAATGACATAGTTTGTGTGGAAGGACCTCTTGGGAATAGAACATGTGTACAAGGCTATGTGACATTTATAATAATGTCTCTACAAGGCAGGAACAGCTCAGGACCCTGAGGAATTGTAAAACAGTGCTGTACTGCCAGGTACGACCCTCTTTTTCTCAGCCCGTGTGCCATTTATTTCACCTTTTTCAAGAGCACATAAGTATTAAGAGCTGGTTTGGGCTTTTTTCTCTTGAAATGACCTGCGTGGCTGTGAGTGGTCACGCTGTCTTTGGCGATAATTCATTCAGACAGCCCTTTCTGTGGCGAACTGCCTTCTCTATCCTTGAATCTTACTAATTAGCTCATCTTCTCCCTCGACATGTCTTGCCACTTTAGCTTGTCTCTTTATAATTTAAGGGTTTAAGAGGCTTCTAATCACTGCAGAATGTTTTAATGTATGATGGGTCTTTAAGTGTCATCACAGAAAATTTCACTCAAGCCAGGGAGATCAGTGTCGTATAAATGTGCAACATAACTTCAATAAAAATGATGTGTGAGGCATGCAATCATATGCAATTTTGTGATAAGGTTTTTATCACTTTAACTAGTCAAATCTTTGGGTTGTTAATGTGAGGCGTTAAGCTGTTTAATGTTATTTTTGATGCACACATTTGGTCAACTAACATTAAATGTTGTTCTCCTTATGTATCTAGGCTATAGAGACTGCACTGGATTGCCTGAAGAGTGCCAATACTGAGCCGTATTACAGACGACAGGCCTGGGAGGTGATCAAATGCTTCCTGGTAGCCATGACCAGCCTGGAGGACAACAAGCATGCCCTTTACCAGCTTCTCGCCCATCCCAAGTAAGACAACCACTTAATGCATTGGCATTTGTGTGAAGAGCTTAATATGAAACCATATTTTTTTTCTATTCAAAATCTCAGGCCAATTATTTACATTTGGTGTGAAAGGCGTGACACTATCAGCTCAAGTGCTTGTTTTGGGATGCAACAAGTACTTAAGTATTCATAAAGGCTATAATTTTCTGATAAAATGTTCACAACACAGCCTGAGCTACTGTGGGAAAAGTGCATGAAAAGTTATCCCAAACAAGGGAATGTTTTATTTATGTAATTGCTGTTGAGTTGAAAACTTATACTTAGTTTTAGTTTTCGGTAGTCATTTTTAATTTAGTGATTTTAGCTTTAAATTTTAAAGCAGTTTTAGAATGTTTTTCCATTTTTGCACATAATATACAGTACAGAATATTCTACATAGATTCATCCACAGGTTTTTTTTTTAAATAGACCTTAATCTCTATACATTAAAAATACAGAAAATAAATTTGGCTTTTTAAAAACCCTATTAATCGGGGGAATAATTGACGGATCATTCGTTTATCAAAATAGCCATTAGTTGCAGCCCTGTTCCTGTGTGCTCTGAGGCTGCACATGCCTCTGCATTTTTCACTGTTTTTGCTATGTTTGCAGCTCCTCTGGGCCTCATCCAGCCTGGCCGCCACTGTCTACAGTGTTCAAAGGGCTAATTACTCAAAGCTGCTTCTACTGGCTGGGCAGGAGGGTCACATAACAGAGTCATTGATCTCCACGCTGAGACTAATTGACTGTACTTTATCTGTTTACCCAAAAGCTAGTCATACGGGCCCCTTCTGAAATAACCTACTGCTAGTTATATGGAAAGAGAGCCGCTACTGCTGTCAGATGTCTTGATTCACAAAATCTTCTCTCCCTCTTTCAGTGTGGCACAGTGCGCTGGTCATCATGAAAGGGGCCTTTTTCAGGAGGCGGAATGCCCTCTTAATATCGCAAATGCCAGGCCGGATAATTGAGTCCCATTCAAGTGGCAGCATTATGAATTTGAATTGATCTGACCGCTCTCTTCGGCTCAGCCCTCTCCCTAAGCCAAGCCTTTTAAATAGCGATAATGAAATGGAGCGATCCATCACCACTGCTACCGGCTTTGGCATTATAGAACACAAGCTTGAGGAAGGATAAAACACTCACTCCATCACTGTGCTGCTATCAGCTGGGTTAACTAACCAAACATGAGACAAAATGTCAGCCAGACACAAAGCCAGACTCCCATGGGGCTCAGCTGTCCAAACACAAAAAGCCTTTTATACTCTGTAATCAAATCAAATCGCCTGATTGGGTTATTCAACCTCAGGCGCATGTAATGGAGCGAGTTCATGGATGCCATGAGAATTATGAGCTAAATCCCTTTGCTGGTTTTCAACAGCTTCACAGAGAAGTGGATCCCTAACGTGATCATCTCCCACCGGTACAAAGCGCAGGACACCCCAGCACGCAGGACGTTCGAGCAGGCCCTGACGGGGGCGTTCATGTCTGCGGTCATCAAGGATCTCAGGCCCAGCGCTCTGCCTTTCGTTGCCAGCTTGATCCGCCATTACACCATGGTGGCAGTGGCTCAGCAGTGTGGTGAGGAATCTTTCTGCCTCAGTGTTAATGTCATCTATATTGAAGTTCAGTCTTAACATAACTTGAAGTGTTCACCCAGGCAATGTTTACTGTTTATTAGGGGTGGAACGGTACACAGATGTCACTGTTCGGGGGTCACGGTTCGATACGATTTCGGTACAACAGGAAAAAACCCCCAAATCTACTATGCTCGGTTTCTTTTCATTTATTTTGAACAGACAGTAGTACAAATAAAAAAAAATGTCCACCTAGTCGTGAAAATACTAAATATTATTACTTTATAATATAAAATCTGCAGTACATATAGGCCTATACATACAAGGAATAAATTCTTGAAATATATTTGATTAAGTTTACAGATAAACAAGGGAACAAAACTGCGACACGTAACGTAGCCTATATACGCTGAGTTTCAGTTCATTTTTGTGACAGGCTTAATTTGTTCACAGAAAGGAAACTCAAATGGCAGAAAGCGACATTACAAAAGCACAATGTTTTGTTTTCATTGTGAGTGCAGACCTTTATACAGTGATGCATTGTTAATAAAGACAATAAGTGTTTAAAGTTGATTCTGCTGGTATAACACAGCACTATGGGTGCCCCCTTCTGGATTGTATTCGTTGTAAGGCCTCATGCACCGAACCGAGATGTCCGTACCGTGATGGTTCGGTACGAATACATGTATCATTCCACCCCTACTCTTTGCATATTAACAGGGATTTAGGTTAACTGTGCTATGATGGGTAGGTATTTAATATTAGTAAGGTATCTAGAGCCAATGCATTACTGTTATTTTTCCACTTATTATCGTGAATGAATATAATGAATATAATTTGTGACCTTGTGGAAAGAAATGCTTTGCTTCTGGATCATACAAAATGGTAATTAATATTTAGTGGCAGCAGAGACATCGAAACAAGAGACATTGCTTGGCTTTTAGCGCATCCTATTTTAATATAATTATAATATAAGAGTTTTTGCTTGGCAGCAACAATGCAAGTTTTTATTTTTTTTCTGAGTGTGAGAAACATCAGAAGTGCACTCAGATCATCCCACAACTCCATTTTCTGCTCTAGGTCCCTTCTTGCTGCCATGCTACCAGTCAGGCAGCCAGGCCAGCACGGCTATGTTCCACAGTGAAGAGAACGGCTCCAAAGGCATGGACCCACTCGTGCTGATCGACGCCATCGCCATCTGCATGGCCTATGAGGAGAAGGAGCTGTGCAAGATTGGGGAAGTGGCACTTGCTGTCATCTTTGATGTTGCCAGCATTATCCTGGGCTCCAAAGAAAGGGTGAGGTCTCCTCTTGATATTTTTCTTTCCATAAACTTTTTTTAGTAGACAGGTTCCACTTGAAGGGTCTTCTTTTAAAACTCGATCTGGTTCTTTCTTCAGGCGTGCCAGCTGCCGTTGTTCTCCTACATAGTGGAGCGTCTATGTGCATGCTGCTATGAGCAGGCCTGGTATGCTAAGCTGGGTGGAGTGGTGTCCATTAAGTTCCTGATGGAGAGGCTTCCTCTGATTTGGGTGTTGCAAAACCAGCTGACCTTCCTCAAAGCTCTGCTCTTTGTCATGATGGACCTCACAGGAGAGGTACAAACTATTTCTAATGTAATTTGAAATCATTGATGTTTGGGTTACTTGCATGAACTTCTGTATCCCCTAATGTCCCTCTTAGGTGTCTAACGGGGCAGTTGCCATGGCAAAGACCACACTGGAGCAGTTGTTGATACGCTGTGCCACTCCTCTTAAGGATGGGCCCTGACGGGGGCGTTCATGTCTGCGGTCATCAAGGATCTCAGGCCCAGCGCTCTGCCTTTCGTTGCCAGCTTGATCCGCCATTACACCATGGTGGCAGTGGCTCAGCAGTGTGGTGAGGAATCTTTCTGCCTCAGTGTTAATGTCATCTATATTGAAGTTCAGTCTTAACATAACTTGAAGTGTTCACCCAGGCAATGTTTACTGTTTATTAGGGGTGGAACGGTACACAGATGTCACTGTTCGGGGGTCACGGTTCGATACGATTTCGGTACAACAGGAAAAAACCCCCAAATCTACTATGCTCGGTTTCTTTTCATTTATTTTGAACAGACAGTAGTACAAATAAAAAAAAATGTCCACCTAGTCGTGAAAATACTAAATATTATTACTTTATAATATAAAATCTGCAGTACATATAGGCCTATACATACAAGGAATAAATTCTTGAAATATATTTGATTAAGTTTACAGATAAACAAGGGAACAAAACTGCGACACGTAACGTAGCCTATATACGCTGAGTTTCAGTTCATTTTTGTGACAGGCTTAATTTGTTCACAGAAAGGAAACTCAAATGGCAGAAAGCGACATTACAAAAGCACAATGTTTTGTTTTCATTGTGAGTGCAGACCTTTATACAGTGATGCATTGTTAATAAAGACAATAAGTGTTTAAAGTTGATTCTGCTGGTATAACACAGCACTATGGGTGCCCCCTTCTGGATTGTATTCGTTGTAAGGCCTCATGCACCGAACCGAGATGTCCGTACCGTGATGGTTCGGTACGAATACATGTATCATTCCACCCCTACTCTTTGCATATTAACAGCGATTTAGGTTAACTGTGCTATGATGGGTAGGTATTTAATATTAGTAAGGTATCTAGAGCCAATGCATTACTGTTATTTTTCCACTTATTATCGTGAATGAATATAATGAATATAATTTGTGACCTTGTGGAAAGAAATGCTTTGCTTCTGGATCATACAAAATGGTAATTAATATTTAGTGGCAGCAGAGACATCGAAACAAGAGACATTGCTTGGCTTTTAGCGCATCCTATTTTAATATAATTATAATATAAGAGTTTTTGCTTGGCAGCAACAATGCAAGTTTTTATTTTTTTTCTGAGTGTGAGAAACATCAGAAGTGCACTCAGATCATCCCACAACTCCATTTTCTGCTCTAGGTCCCTTCTTGCTGCCATGCTACCAGTCAGGCAGCCAGGCCAGCACGGCTATGTTCCACAGTGAAGAGAACGGCTCCAAAGGCATGGACCCACTCGTGCTGATCGACGCCATCGCCATCTGCATGGCCTATGAGGAGAAGGAGCTGTGCAAGATTGGGGAAGTGGCACTTGCTGTCATCTTTGATGTTGCCAGCATTATCCTGGGCTCCAAAGAAAGGGTGAGGTCTCCTCTTGATATTTTTCTTTCCATAAACTTTTTTTAGTAGACAGGTTCCACTTGAAGGGTCTTCTTTTAAAACTCGATCTGGTTCTTTCTTCAGGCGTGCCAGCTGCCGTTGTTCTCCTACATAGTGGAGCGTCTATGTGCATGCTGCTATGAGCAGGCCTGGTATGCTAAGCTGGGTGGAGTGGTGTCCATTAAGTTCCTGATGGAGAGGCTTCCTCTGATTTGGGTGTTGCAAAACCAGCTGACCTTCCTCAAAGCTCTGCTCTTTGTCATGATGGACCTCACAGGAGAGGTACAAACTATTTCTAATGTAATTTGAAATCATTGATGTTTGGGTTACTTGCATGAACTTCTGTATCCCCTAATGTCCCTCTTAGGTGTCTAACGGGGCAGTTGCCATGGCAAAGACCACACTGGAGCAGTTGTTGATACGCTGTGCCACTCCTCTTAAGGATGAGGAGAAGACTGAGGAGCTTCTGTCTGCCCAGGATAAATCCTTCCATCTGGTGACCCATGACCTTGTACGGGAGGTCACCTCCCCCAATTCCACTGTCCGCAAGCAGGCCATGCACTCCCTGCAGGTGCTGGCTCAAGTCACAGGCAAGAGCGTCACCATCATCATGGAGCCTCACAAAGAAGTGAGTGTGATTATATTTCTATATGATTATGAGGACTATGGCAGGACTTTCTTTGCTGGCTCGGTCAGATTTTTACTTGCCCTGCCAACATTTTCACTGACCCCACTATTTAAAATGATGCATTTATATTTTTAAAAACATGTTATTGCTGGAAAAAATAATTTTATGAAGTTTTCATTAATTTTATATTTCGTTTTTGTGACAACGTGACAGCGACTACAAAAATCTCGATAAGAGGGAGTTGTTAAGGAGAGGAATTGCAGATCAAATAGGATTCGATGTGTACCGGGGTATTTTTCATTAAGCGCCATCTAATGTCAGGGAGTGAATTTGCATGTTCATTCAGCACATCGGCAGTGAAAATCGCTTGGGTATGAATAAACAAGACGCGTCGAAAAACGCTGGCGATAATCTTGTGATCATCTTCCCCGTGTGCACGAGACTTTAGACTGTGTGGGCGTCGAGGAGAGTTGAACTCGGTTTAACTTTATGGTAATGAGCTATGACACGGTTCGGCGGCAACCAATCTGAATGTAGAAGTCCTCCACTTGAGAGGATTCCAGAGAATACAGTCTTGTAAACTTTGGTTACGACCGCATTAGTTCCCAAGCAAAATTTTAATAGAGGTTGATCTTTGCTGTGGCAGGTTCCCCAGTAATTTATGACGTGAATTGTTGTGAATTTGATAAGAAGGTGTGCAGCACTATTTATAAGAAACATTTTTGCTCTAGAACGCTTGTTTTTCAGCGAGAATGCAGTTCATTTGCTCAAACGCACAGCTAAATATTATGTTAATGCGGGAACTTAAATCAGCAGAATTCATGGTCACAATATTTCACACAAAAGCAATTGTTTATTTTACAACACACTTATATTTTCTAAGTTTAGATAATGCTACACTGGCCATGTGACCATTCCATCAACCCTCTCAACATGAGCCCAGGGCTATTACACAATTCTTATTGTTAACTCTTGCCAGGAAGGAACCATTAGGTCAGTCAACTTCCTTCCTCTATTTAGGGAAGTTTAAAACTCTCCTTATTTCCACCAGGTGCTGCAAGACATGGTTCCTCCAAAGAAACACCTGCTGCGGCATCAGCCTGCCAATGCTCAGATTGGCCTGATGGAGGGCAACACCTTCTGCACCACTCTACAGCCCCGCCTCTTCACCATGGACCTCAACGTGGTGGAACACAAAGTCTTTTACACAGAGGTCAGTTTGAAACTGTCTGCTTTTAAGTGGGTTATATGAAATCACCAGTGTGTTGATGCTCTGTGTACTTCCTCTCTGAGCTCCAGTGTCTCTGATTTGACACAGTTGCTGAACCTGTGTGAAGCTGAGGATGCTGCTTTGATGAAGCTGCCCTGTTATAAAAGCCTTCTTTCACTGGTGCCGCTGCGCATTGCTGCTCTCAGTATGTGCTACTTTTTATTCATACATATACAATAAACTATATATAGGTTATCTTCCAAAACCTAGTGATCTGCCTGACTGATTTCTGCCTACATAGGCATCTGCCTTCTAAGGCAGCATGCAAACCGATATGGATCCTGATGAGCGATTGATTTTGGAAGACTTTACATAGGCAGCAACTTTACACAGGCAGTTATGTCATACAAATAAACCTCCACACACCGTGTACAGGAGGTTTCGCTCTCTGTTGATTGCAAGTTTAGCCCTTTTCGCACCGGAGGAACATTTTCATAGTTCCTAGAACTATTGGCGGAAGTACCCGAATGCTCATGCGTTTGCACTGCAGGAACTAGGAACGATTTTAGTTATAGGAACTCCTTTTACGGGAACTAAATTAGCTCCTACTTCAGAGTAGGGTCTAAACCCGCGCTATAGGAACTACCAGTGATGTAAGTGTACGATGATTGGCCGAATGCATGTGGGAAAATGCCGGCACCTACCATTTTTAAAAAGCCGGATAAACACACAGCAGTTTATAATTCGTGGAGCAGTTTATAGTAGGCTACAAGATTGAAAACCATGATAAATGGACCGACGCCGAAGTGCAAGCAGTTCTAAACATTTATGCTCTTTTCTCAGACTCGATCATATGTAGAAATGCAAGTTGCCATGGTAGATTTCGTCTCTTAGTCCTCTGATTTGCTCTTGCTATCGCATAACTTCTATCTCCATTATCACGAAACCCAGTATATACATCAAAAACACAGCTCCGATCACGGTGTCCTCCATCCTTTTGTTGTTTAAGTTATAGACCTAAAGTTGTTGAATGCTGCGCTTTAATGACGTTGCTGTGCGCCGGCTTACGTCACTTCTGAGTTTCTGTTGGCGGTGCGAATGAAACCAGGAAGACCTCAATTTCCCGGGGAACTACCCATTGTTGTTAGCATGGTGTTAAGGTAAAGTTGTCCTTGTTTAATTCGATTTAAGTTGTTTTAATAATACTTTTTGTGCACTTGCAAAAGTTCAAAAGTTAATGCGTTCCGTTCAAAAGTTTGAAAAAAGTGTCATGCTCAACAAGGCTGCATTAATTTGATTTAAAAATACAGGAAAAATATCTTGAGAAATATTATTACAAATTGGAATAGCTGTTTCTTATTTAAAAAGTATTTTATATCTGTGATGGCAAAGATGAATTTTCAGCAGCTGTTACTCTTCAGTCTCACACTGAGTCTTCAGTATCACACATTTTCTTATTCTAATATACCGATTTGGTCCTCAAGAAATGTTTCTAATCATCATGGTTGAAAACGGTTGTGCTGCTTTATGTTGCAATGAACAATTTTCTCTGTCTGCAGTTTGGAACAGCCTTTGTGTTTGTAGTGTGCCTGTGATGCCTACATGCTGCCTGCATAGACAGCTCACTAGGTTTTGGAACAGTGACCTAGTATTTGACACTGTCAAATACTAATAAATGCAAATGTTTTGGTGTGCCACATAACTGAAAAACAATAATAAATGTGCACTGTATATTAAATGTCAGTTTTAATGATTTTTCTGTTGAACCCTCCCGTGTGTGTCTGTTCAGATGCCCTGGCGGCCTGTAACTATCTTCCCCAGTCCCGAGAGAAGATCATCGCTGCCCTCTTCAAGGCCCTCAACTCTACTAACAGTGAGCTCCAGGAGGCTGGAGAGGCCTGCATGAGAAAGGTCAGCCCTCTTCCTCCACAAGCCTAATTTCCTTTCTCCTATCTCTGTCTCTTCCGCACACTCTTCCTCTGCCCTGCTGCCTCTAATGAGTCCTGCCTGAAAAGATCAATACAGGATGGAGTGAAGCAGGCTGAGAGGAAAATGAATTTGGCCGTGATGCATCATCTCATTGCAGAAGGCTGGCGTGGCCTTTCTTATTGCGCTGGTTTTAGAGTTTTTCTGCTCCTGTGAATTGACAGGACAGTAGCGAAAAACAGGGTTTTAAGATGCCATTATCTTGTAGTATTCCTTGTAGGGCATGTAAAAGCAGCTGTCTCTATTAAGCACTCATGGGCTGTTTAATGGCCCTATATATGCTTTGAAGTCTGAGTGTGTATTCATGTTCCTATGTGTTTCACAGTTCTTAGAGGGGGCTACTATTGAGGTGGATCAGATCCATACACACATGCGGCCCTTGCTGATGATGCTTGGAGACTATCGCAGTCTGACGCTCAATGTAGTCAACAGACTGACATCAGTCACTCGTCTCTTCCCCAACTCCTTCAATGACAAATTCTGTGACCAAATGATGGTAAGTGTAAAACAGTTGAATGCATATATATATATTTAAACAGTCAAGAGCACAGACTCAATGTTTCTTCTGCTCTTGCACAGGGTGTCTGCGGGGGTCCTAAAAAGTATTAAAAGTTGATAAATTAATTTAGAGAAAATTAAGGCCCTTAAAAAGTATAAAAAAGTCTTAAATGCCATTTTCCAAGGTATAACATTTTGTATCATCTTTTCATTATGTATATTTGTCGAATGGTGGGGTTCTGTGTAGTTTGTTTATGGAATCCCGCAAGATTTGACTTCATCTGTTACGGCGCTCACTGACTGACTGTGCTGCTGCGTGATAGGCTTGTTGATCCCGCTCACACTGAATTTCTGACCATTACCGCATGCTCCAATCCGCTCCCGCGATTTTTGTGTCCGCTCCCGCAAACATTCTAATATTGTATATAATTTTCGTGCATCAGGGTGATCAATACAGGGCATATCAATATGTGGGGTAATTAAATCCCCTTTGAATGAGCGCTCTCAGTGGTAGTTTACTTTCACTTTCGATTTCACGATCGCACACGCACTGTGTAAAGGGAGCACATCCTACGATAAAAGATATTTGTCAATGAGCTCGGGATCTGGTGAGGAGCAAATCCTCCAACATCTTGTCAGTTATCTCTCCTTACTTTTGACCCGTGATTAGTCAAATCTGACTGCAACTCGTGTTGGATGCAGGGTTGTTGTTGTATTTTTCCACGAAATTGGGCTGCTTTTAAACTGTTGCCATGGGTTACTTTTTCCCTGTGGGTTAAAGGTTTGAAATATTGAATAAATTACATTTGGTTGAAATGCTTGTACTGAAACATTTTGCATTCTACCTGTAATAAAACTGCTAAATGTTTTGGGCCACACTAGTAGGAAGCATTTGAGCTGTGTTTATGATAAATGTGCATAACAGTGACTGTAAAATATGTATTTTAGGGATGGAAATTGCATTTTTATATTTGGGGCATGGTAATTGCGCTACTTTGGGCCTTTTTTTTACTGGCATGGGCTTGGGATGCACAATTAAAATGATGTAATAGTTGTGATCATTATTTTACCTTCCATGATCATTCAGACTTGATCAGGTGCAGTACTGACACTCTGTCAAGTCTGCATCAAATCAAGCACTCCGTAATCACAGGTAAACTGTCTGATCAGACAGGTGTTTGTCGTGAGAAGTGTTCCACAAAACAGCTATGGTTTGAGTTGATGTGACAAATACATCTTTTGAATATACTGTGTGAACTCATTGCCCCGTTAGCTCGGAGAGCTTTATTTTCCCTCCTCAATAAGTTTTGTTTATTGGTCTAATTCTTGTTTCTTGGGTTGCATTGGTTAGTCACTCAATTAATTATCTTGTGCTTCGTTCCCCACTTCTGAATTATGATGTATTGATAAGGAGTTATCACAAAGTAAGTATGTTTAGTTGCGCTATTTTACAATCAATATATAGTAAATGCAAGTTAAAGTGTCGCCGATGTAACCGGTTAAAACTTGGAGTGGCAATGATGTCTTAAAATGTATGGAAAGAGTCTTAAAAAGGTCTTAAAAGGAATTAAATTTAACTCCGTGATTCCTGTATATACCCTGTTGCAGCAACATCTGCGTAAATGGATGGAGGTGGTGGTGATCACGCATAAAGGAGGCCAGCGTAGTGATGGCAGTGTGAGTATAAGCTTGTTTTAATATCTCTGCTTTTCCTTGAATTATTTGTTGAACTTCACAAGGGCAGCAGCCTCGTTTAAGCCTCTTCAATGAGCGGAAGGGGTCTGTAGAAATAGAGAGCTGAGATGAGCGCTCTGGACTGGACTCCCTCCTCCAGCCCAGATCGCCCCACTCAGACTCTGTGAGTGGCCATATTACAATCAATGATTAATTAGGCGCCATCCACCCCCAGGCCGCCTAAGTAACGAGCCTCAGAATTCTGGATCCTCGTTATCTTGTTGGACAGATAACCTTGTAGAGTAAGAAAAGGTGAGAGGGGGAGAAAGCCATTCTGTTTCCATGCTTCAAAACGAGCTGCCATTCTTTCTGTCTTGTTCACGCCCTGCCGTTCTCTAAAATGTATTATAATTACATGCAAATTGGCCCTCTGTTCCTGCAGTTCTTAATATTCTTACAACAATGACAGAATGACCAGCCATACATGACAATGAGGCGGGGTCAGTCGGGTTCAGGATTGGAAGGGTGGGGGGCATTCAGAATGCTAGTTCCAGAAGATTTGTTTAGTCATACAGAGAAAAAGAAGGTCTGTTCAGGGAGAGCGTACAGATTTATCCTTCATGAGAGCACATACTCCGATAAACCCATGCTGGGGTGCTAGTTCAGTATTAGGAGTGCTCTTCAGTGCTCGAATTTCAATGTTTTCTCAGTGTAAAAATATCTTGACAGTGTCCCAAATATAGCAAGTCGCACTTAGGGATTATGAAGACTGTGCATTGTTCTCTGTGCAATTCTTTACAAAGGGACATTTTTATTTATATTTATCATAAAAATTAGTAAAGTTCATGTTTTACCCCAGGAAAAAATTATTTTATAAAAATATATTATTTTAGGACTACTAAAATGTTGGCATTGTGATATGCATGACATTTGATGTAATGTCTTGACAAGTTTAATTTAAAATGAATGCAAGTTTTGATGTAGTTAGGTGTTCACCATTATTTATACTGGCATCATCAGGCCCAATACTGTGCTCATGTACTCATTCTCAATAAAATGCTCTGATACCAAAAATACAAGTAAAATATGCTGCATTGTCCTGAAAATAATCTCAATGCAAAAATTCTAATATTTGATCATAGTAGATATTATTGCAAGTATTTAGGTTATTTTCTCCCATTATTAAATTGTGTGCTTTACTTGTTATTTGTCTAGATAATTATTAAAATATAGCATTTAAATGTAGTGACAACCCTCGGTTTTGCAGTTATACATTATGTAAGCACTATGATCCTAATGCCCATACTTTTGTATGCCCTTTACGTTAGTTAATCAGTGCTGTGTAATGTATTCCCACACAAGATTTCTCATTCACCTTCACCATCATCTTCACCTTCAGTTTCCATACTGAAATCAATGGATCTGTAGATGGAGTCCAGCTGAAATGCTGCCCGTTTCAGTTCAGAAAAAGTGTTTTGATTTGTTTTTTTTTACCTCGTTTTTTGGCCTCTGCACTTTTTTGCTACTTTTGTTTTCAACAAATGTGCAGCCTAGAAGGAAGATTGCTCTGCACAGAATCACACACACCACCATTCACCTGAACCCATCTCCTCAATCCATACAGCACTCATTACCCACACTGCTTTGCTGATTGTTTGTTGTCTCCTGTTCTGGCGCAGCCTGCCTACCTCGTTTTTTGGCCTCTGCACTTTTTTGCTACTTTTGTTTTCAACAAATGTGCAGCCTAGAAGGAAGATTGCTCTGCACAGAATCACACACACCACCATTCACCTGAACCCATCTCCTCAATCCATACAGCACTCATTACCCACATTGCTTTGCTGATTGTTTGTTGTCTCCTGTTCTGGCGCAGCCTGCCATGGAGGGTGTAGAGGTGAGATGGCGGCCTGGGGTGGGGTCTTCACTGGCTCTGCTCTCATTGTGCTCGTGGTTACTCTGTGCTAGTGGAGTCTTTGTAATCGTATTTGTGTCTGTGGTGTTGTGTTTGACTTTTATGTTTCACATTTCTGAGGTGGTCCCTCTCAAACCTGCTAATGTATGATGTCCCATGGATCTATGATGTTTTCAGGAACCAACCTGCCACTCTGACTTTCTTGCAGATGTTCCCCAACTTGTCACTGTTGATTTTGTATTACAGGAGGTACACTTAGGTACACTTTCACCGCTGGTCATCACTAACAATAACTGTGATGCGTTACTTCATTCACCTCTGCAGGAAATGAGGATCTGTTCGGCCATTATAAACCTCTTCCACCTGATACCAGCTGCTCCACAGACACTGGTGAAACCTTTGCTGGAAGTGGTCATGAAAACGGAGAGGGCGATGCTCATAGAGGTACAAGATCTGCATGCAAAAATACATGGTGGTGTCAAATGCATGGGAATAGAAATACCTATCAGTATTTATATCGGCCCACATTGAAATCGACTTAGACTAATGTGGCAGATTTGTAAATCACTGAATAGACATGGCACACACACACACACACACAAAACTCCTGTTCAAAAGTTTGGGATTGGTCATTTTTTAAAAACATTTAAATATAAGAAGTTCATACTTTTATTCAGCAAGGGTGCTGATGATCAAAAAGACTTGTTGTTCTTTTGTATTTTTTTATACAATGTGAATATTTTGGTTTTATGCTATTTGCATGTTGTTACCTCACAGGCAGGCAGTCCCTTTAGAGAGCCACTGATCAAATTCCTGACACGTCATCCGTCTCAAACAGTGGAGCTTTTCATGATGGAGGCCACTCTCAATGACCCACAGTGGAGTCGCATGTTCATGGTTGGTTTGTTTTTTCTTGTCCATACCTCATACTTTATTGTGTGTCTTTGTTTAAAAATTCCTTGCCATGATATCTTATGAGTGTTGCTTTTTCTTCAATTTTTTAATTGTTTTCTCATTTGCAGAGTTTCTTGAAGCACAAAGATGCCAAGCCACTTCGGGATGTCTTGGCTTCTAACCCAAATCGATTTGTCCCTCTGCTGGTTCCAGCTGGGCCTGCAGCAACTGTGAGACCTGGGTCTCCCTCCACCAGTACTGCCCGCCTTGACCTGCAGTTCCAGGCCATCAAGGTGGGCCAAACACTCTTAATTGTTTACTCTTAAATTTAATGCAATTTGCTTGTTTGTAGAGCCTGAATATTAATGAGCATTCATAAACTCCCTCAGATCATAAGCATCATTGTGAAAAATGATGAAGGCTGGTTGGCGGGTCAGCACTCTTTAGTGAGTCAGCTCAGACGCGTGTGGGTCAGCGAGGCCTTCCAGGAGCGCCACCGCAAAGACAGCATGGCTGCAACCAACTGGAAAGAGCCCAAACTATTAGCATTCTGTCTGCTTAGCTACTGCAAGTAAGTGTTTTCTGTTTGGTGGTTGCAGAAATTACACACTTCACAAGTTTAAATACTGTTAATAGCTTGGAAAATGGAAACGCAATGTTTTTACTTTGATTTTTACACTAAAGTTGAAAATTTCCTTTCAGACGCAACTACTCTGAGATAGAGCTACTCTTTCAGCTGTTGAGAGCCTTCACTGGCCGCTTCCTGTGCAACATGACCTTCCTGAAGGAGTACATGGAGGAGGAGATCCCCAAGAACTACAGCATCACACACAAACGAGCGCTCTTCTTCCGCTTTGTGGAGTTCAATGACCCACACTTTAATGATGAGCTCAAGGCAAAGGTGAGGATATACCATTTGTACACCTGTGAGTATTAACATGTTGAAAAGAAACTCCCATGAATTTTGCCTTTGTGATGACCTCTCGTTTTTTATTAAGAGCCACCATGAGTGTGACTGATGCCATGACACGGACCTCCATGGTCAGCATTATAAATTCCACCTTTGCGGTATATTTCTGTTGAGAGTGGCACAGCGTCACGCTCTCTTAGCGCTGACCATCTAATGTGGCCAGCAACCAGCCCCTGCTGAATATATATGCTCAAGATGGGGAGCGTGACAGGGACTGACCGTGCATGACGCACTCGGTTCTCAAAGGCACGTCTTCACAGTCAACCTGAAGTCTTTGAAGAACGCTAATGAATATTTATCTGCAGATTACTCTAATAGCCATTGCTCATATGCTGAGAGTTTGCCTTTAATCAGCCCTGGAGAAGATGGCTAACATAGTTGATGGAGCAGGGCTCAACACAAATAACTTTTTCTGCTAGCTCGGATGCAGCAGTAGTTTAGATTTTTACTTTTTTGGGTGTCATTTTCACTCACTGATTTTAATTTAATTTTATTATTTTGCAGTTTTTGGGATGTTTGAAATTACCACATCACATAGTTTAATGTAGCATTTCTGACAATGTTCCCTTCTTTGTTGATTATTTTGATCATCCTTATTGTTTACACCTGTGGAGGGGTATTTATAGTGGGCAAGCACTACATGGAGTACAAGGACCCACTGGTAAACGGGTCAGTCAGGAGGATATTCAAGGCTGTTTCTTATTCCCACTTCGTTTTATTCATGTGAAAGAACTCCAAGTTGGAGAAGGAGATCAAATGGCAGTTTATTAAAATGAACTGAATGTTCCCCAACTTCCCCTCAAATTGTCACCCTTTGCAATGACATTGAGAAACGGTAGCAGTGCATCGGCGGATAGTCTTCACAGCTTTGATGGCAGAGGCTGTTCTTGCTCTGCTAAATCACCCCTCACAGCAAAACAGACGTTGCATCCCAAACATTCCCCAGGAGAGCTCAGCAGCTGTGCGCACTCTTAACAGAATACATGTTTAAGGTGATGTTTTCAGGCAGCTGGAGTCGCGGCGGTTTTGGCTGTGATGGATCGTGTAGAAAAGGATTTGTTGTGATCCATCACTCATGTGAACGGTAGAGGGGCTCATTAGGACGAGGGATAATGAAGGAACACCTGCAGCCCCACGGCCTCCATGTTTGAATAAATCCACATGCTGATGCACACTTCAGCTAGCAAACAACACAACCATTGTGTCTGACTAGACAAACTATTGTCTTGAATAAAGCTAGTATTTCCCATTGCTTAAATTACCAAGTGGTACATTGTTGACATGCTTATTAATTTTTGTGATTTTTCTTTCAAATTTATAGTGTAAAGCAGAAACAAAGCTATTAGTGTTCAAAGATGCTAATTATGTAACATATAAGAGCTGATGAATGGAAAGTTGAGGCTGGAGGAATTTTGAGCTTCTAAAAACATGGTTAATCAGAATGATTAATATCAGTTAACTTACAAATCAACCAAATCTGAGGTGCCATGTTGTGCCTTTCTCTCTCTTCTGTCATCATCACACTTTTTACTGGCTTTATCTATGCATGCGCTGCCAAAGCAGCCCTGGTTTTAATTAAGTAAATTCAGTCAATGCTGTAAATTGCAACATGCTTAAAAACTATAAAGATTCACTCACCATGAACCTTTTTCATTAAAGTTAACACAAAGAAGTAGAATTGTTTGCATATGTTTAAATGTACACTCACATAAAGACTCAAGTGGCCTTGAAAAAAACGACGATGATAGGCCACCTCTTGTTGGCTCACATTATCGCCAAGTTTGCCATTCACAAAAAGATTGTGTTGCAGGTAGGCATGTAGCAAAATTCCAGCTGGCAAAAATACTATGAAATTATTTTTTTTTCTGATTTTGTCTGAAAAAAGACAGGCATAAAATTATTTGTTAACAGCTGTAACAGAATCTTTGAAGTCTATGAGTCTTTTCCAGGTTTAATCATGTGTAATGTAGTCACCAGCTGATTGATATCAGATGTGAAATTTCCAAATGTAAATGTTGGTACAAATAGATTGTAGAGTACATATGTTGCTTGTATTATCTAAAAATCCCCCAAAAATAATGGAGATTGGTGTCTGTAACTTCCTGTCAATATCGCAATATTTTCAGCAGCCATTACTTTATTCTTCAGTGTCACATGATCCTTCATGAGTCATTTTAATATGCTGATTTGGTGCTCAGTTATTATTAATTATTATTGGTGCTCAATTATTAATAATAGTTCTTATTATTATCGTCAAACAGTTTATGAAAGCAGTTTTACTGCATAAGATTTTTGTGGAATTCTTTGAATAGAAAGTTCAAAAGTACAGCATTTATTTGTAATATAATTTTTTTAATATATTTCTCTAATCTAGAAATTATGTATCTCACTTGTATCAGCTGTATCAGCTTGATACATTTAATGCATCCTTGCTGAATAAAAGTATTAATTTCTTAAAATAAAAAAGTCTTACTGACCTCAAACTTTTGAATTGTAGTGGAATTCAATATTACACTGGTAAAGTAATACCTTTTTTCGGTTTTCTCGCTCTTTTTTTTTTAAAAACCATTTAAAAATCATTAGAACCTATATATTATTGTGATTTAAAAAAAAAAAGACTAAAGACTAAAATTATAGGATTCAATTTTCTGCCAGTTTATCAAGATTTTTTTTGCTTAGGCCATGATGGAATTAAAATGTATTCAACAGCCCAAATATTTAGGGGTTTATTTCTTCTTAAGAAAATAACACAACACATTTATAATAAATATGATTGCAGGCCTAAATTTAGCCTTCAGATAAAATGCATTTCTAAAACCCAAATACTTCTCTTTCCTCAACATTTCAAAGAGTACCTCTGAGCTTTTGCTACTCAAAGTTTAGTCTTTGGTTTAACTCACTTCAGTAGTCAACTTCTTCCTTTTGTGAAATGCTGCTAAATGTCAGTGTATCTGTTCTGTTCAGGTTTTCCACAGTCTGCTAAAGGCTCATACTATGGAAGCACGTGCCATTGTTCGGCAAGCCATGATATCTTCTCCTAGAGACCTCATTTGAGCATAGCTGTGGATATGTATGGTGAACAATAATTACGTCATTTGATTTGCTCGAGTGCAAGACACAGTCTAAAGACCACTATAATGGTCAGCAGCTGTTAACAGAAACATGCATTGGTTGAATTTCCACAGACGTTGTGAAATAATAACTTTAGACACACTAGTGATTATCGACAGTAACAATATATGTTAAAGCCCCATTTCTGTAATTGGTTATCTCTTTATAAGATTGTCCAGGTTGTGCTAGTTTTTCCAATTAAACTGTGGCAGCTATGTACATTAAAACATTTTCTTGTAATATTTTGGTTTTTCTTTAGGCACATCCTCAGTGGCTTCCAAGTATGAGGAGCTGGAGTGTCTGTACGCTGCCGTAGGGAAGGTCATTTATGAAGGCCTCACCAACTACGAGAAAGCCAGCAGCGCTAACCCAACTCAATTGTTCGGTGAGAAAATGTAATAGCTCTACTACATGACCAAAGGGAGTTATTCTGGAAGATCTTCCCCAACATAAAATAGATGCTAAGGTTTTCAAAAAGCTCTCTTTTCTGTTATATACCAAGAATAGAATGCAAATCATATATTTATATACTTAATTGTAATTGTATAATTATTATTGCGTTTTGTACATTACTATTCAGAAGTTTTTTGTTTTTTTTAAATGAATTACTACTCCTGTGCAGCAAGGATGCATTAAATTTCACAAGATTAGAGTTTTTTACTGTATTTTTGATCAAATAAATGCCGTCTTGGTGAGCATAAGAGGCATCTTTCAAAAACATTTTTAAAAAACCTTACCAACCCTAAACTTTGCAATAGTAGTGTATTTTAGTGTGGATATATTTCAGATAATATTTTTATAATGGAACACTTAGTTGTTTCACAACTTAGTTCGTCTTTAATTATATTTCATAATTGAAAACATAAAGTGCTGAAACTCTATTGGATAACATTCTAAAGTTACCAGTGTTTCATTTCAGCTCAAAATGGCACCATTGTTCAATAAATGCCTTCTGATTCCGCTCTGGCAGTGCTCTAGAGTTACATTTACCACTGATGTACTGTATGTGTCTCCATCGAGGGTGACTTTTTACATTTATCTTTCCTCCCCAGAGCTGTGATTATAAGAAATGCATTACTCATGCTTTTTTTGTCTCCATCCTTACTCGCTTAGATTTCTCCAGAAACGCCCTTGTAATACAACTACAGGGACAAAGGAGCTGAACCCAAAATCATTAGCAGGCGCATGTTGCTTGCTGTCCCTGACAGTGTTGTGAGGGCAGTGGGGTGTCATGTTACCAGCTTCTCTCTCCTCTCTGCTTCCAGGAACGCTGATGATCCTGAAGTCGGCCTGCAGCAACAACTCCAGCTACATCGACCGCCTCATTTCCGTCTTTATGCGCTCCCTGCAGAAGATGGTGAGAGAGCACCTGAGCCCGCAACCCAACCCCGGAGTCGCTGAAACCAGCACAGGTGACCATTCTTTAGACTCTTGTGTCAAAGACGTTTTCCCCCAAAAATACATTTAAAATTAATTTCACCTTAAGTAGTTGAAATGGCCTATTATTATTATTAGGAACGAAGCACCTAATAATAATCTTTTTTTTTCTACTTCTGCTCTTATATCTATGGTTGCACATTGAACTGCTTGCGGAAAAGTTATGAAATTTGGCACACAATAAAAGACAGTCTGAACATTAAACATTAAAAATTTGGAGTCTCTCTATCTGTATGATTCAAATGCACCTTCTGAAACCATTTTCCACAATGAAAATTTTTTCTCTGTTTGAATTTTCTGAAAACCTACATTTTTGAACCTTTGCTCAGATTTTCACAAAAATTATATCGGATCAACTTCAGACCATGCCAACAAGCAGTTGTGGAATTCAAGCTAATTAATCAAACTGTTCTCAAATAACATGCAAACTAATTTGACGATCACACCAAAATAAATGTGAGGCTGCATCTCTGCAACACTTTAGCACATTGAGACCAAACTTAATGTTTTGCCGCAACCAGGCTACCTGGAGAATTTTGACACAGTACCACCTAGTGGTCTGGAGATATGAAAATTTGCTTTTTTTTGCTTATAAATTCTAAACAGTTTGGCCATAATAGGCCAAACTTCCTGTTCGCCATTTAGATTTTCTTTAACTTGCTTTTCGAAATCCTCTTAGACTGTTGGTCCAATTTTTCACCAAACTCAACTCAGATCTTCTTCAGACCATGCTGTTAAAAAGTTATGGATTTCTTGTCTATAGACATAACCGTTTTTATTTACCACATCAACGAATTTGATGGCATGCCAAACTGCATCTGAGGCTGTATCTCTGCAAAGCTTTGACATATTGATTCCAAACTTTGTGACATTGTCACTCAACACTGACCATACCAGATTAATTTGGTGTCAGTGCCAATGATTGGTCAAAAGTAATATTGAGCAATTATGTCATATTACAAGTAATTGTATTTATGGGTTTTCAACCATTTTGCTTAAAATTGTCTCCAAATGTCTTTACTCACTTTTGTAGTTGGTTTGATGCTCATTGTCATGCTTTTAGCTTCTCATTTTGCTTCCATTGTGCTTGGCCTCTTAATTGCTGTTTGCAGCTGTATTTATTATTATTATTATTATATTTTTTTATTAAAATAGCATATTAATATTTGAAATAATAAAGTAATGATACAACCAGCATCCAGAAAAGAAAAACAGTAAATTGCATCATACAGATGACCCCTGCAGATCCTGTGAGTCAAGGTCAATGAGTCTCCTAAAATATATGATAATTTGACTTTGATTTATCAGTCAACGTTTGTAGTCAGATTATAATCATTAGTCAGGTGGCATGAAGTGTGACTTCCCAAAAACTTGTAATATTTGAGTTAGTAATTAATGATATTTGTAAAAGATAATACCTATTATCTTGAAAAATATGCTGAACTTGAATATGCAATATATTTTTTAAGAAATTACTTGATGGTTGCACCACATTATTTTTAGTCTTTGAAATGTAAAGTTTTCTTGATAATGGTATACGTTTTTTATAACCATAAGAAACCAAAATGAATACAAAGAACACATTCCTAAAAAAAAACTTGGCATGATTTTTGAAAGATTTTTCTTTCATTGTGTACACTCTTATGGCATTGACCCACTAAGTAAATGTAAACAGAACAGGCACCACACAGGTCAGATCAGTTTTTATGTTGATGGCACTCAGTGGATCACTAAATCATCTGAATCGATCCTATTTGGCTGCTGTCTAGAAGCAACCATGTTAAGTTAATGAAATATAGTATGCTACAGTGGGGAAAAAAAGTATTCCCACTTAAAAAGATGAGAGAGGCCTGTAATTTTCATCATAGGTATACCTCAACTATGAGAGATTTAGACAAATTTGTGCTTTAGCATTGGCCTCTTTCTGTCATTAACCCATTTGCGCTTGGTTAAGATCACTTCGTCCCTTCCAGGAGGCCGTTTCCAAGCCTTTAAAGATTTCAAGCTTGTCTTGATTTTCGATAGTATATGGAAACCAGGTAGGTTGAGATCTATTGCTTTGTCTGACAGAACGGGTCCTCTTCCTCTTGGCCCAGAACTGACAGCCTGTCTTAAATTTAGGCTCTTTACAGTATGATGGAAAAATATACGCTCTTACTAGGACAGCTTTAATCCTGTTGTCTGCAGTCATCTGGAGGAGTTTAAAAAGTGGGCAGAAAGACAAAAAGACACGTTGTCACCTTAGAGCAGATTGAGAGAGAGAGAACCCTTAGACTTCAGCTATGTTTGACCACTGGGTGCTGCAGGAGGGTCAAATGTTTAGAGACCGGCCCACAAATCCAACCATACTGAGAAACATCTGTGATTGAAGTCAAAAATCTCCCACTGTGTCCACCAGAATCTAAAATCCAGACAATCCCATCTGCTCAGTGCCTTCTAGATGCTATTATGGTTTTTAAATGGTACATGGAGATGGGATTGAACGGACACACACACATTCGCACACTTTCGGCCCTACATGTCCTGTGCAGGCCTCACGCTGCAATGTCACCCTGACAGTGTCGCCCAAGACCCCCTCACAGCGTGAGTCAGCGGCGAACTGGAAATCAGCCTCTAACATATTCTCCCCCAAGGGGTCGACTCATCAGAACAATCACATTTTACCTTGAGCAAATCAAGCAGAAAATACATTCAGAGGCCAGTCTAAACTGATAACCTGTCTCCTTTCTGCTGCGGCTTTCCATGCTGTAAAACTCAATCACATTTCCCCCGCTTTCAGCAGGCAGACTTTCGTATTTTATGGTTCATGTCCTCGGCTGTCTTTTACAATTTTTGATGCGTGTTCAATGGTTGTCTTTGAGATTCGTGTTACATTTTGCTGTGTGTGAGAGCCTGTGTGTAGTTTTTCCCTCTTTGTTTGATTTGGAAAAAGATAGAAGTCCTGTGAACCTCAACGAAATGGAAAATAGTATTGCTGTCATGTAATCGTGCTCTCGTTCTTCTGTGTTTTCTGTAGTGACAAGCGAGTTGGTAATGCTTAGCTTGGATCTGGTAAAGGAGAGGCTGTCGGTCATGAACATGGAAATGAGGAAGAACTTCATCCAGGTCATCCTTACATCCCTCATCGAGAAATCTCCCGACCCAAAGATTCTTCGAGCTGTGGTGAAGATTGTGGAGGAATGGGTCAAGAACAACTCTGGCAACCCCATGGCCACCAACCAGGTAAATTCTCACAGGTTGCTGTATCAAAATAATAATTCACCTGGTGTCATAATATGAGGAATTTTCTTTGATCTTAGTTTAGATTATATTGTACTATGTAAACACACTGTAACAATGTTCCAAACTCAAAACTTTCCAAGTCCAGAAAGACTAAAATTAAGTAGCAAAGATGACACTTCAAAGTTGACTAGTTCAGTTTAATGTAGTATGTCTTTATCTTTTAATGTTGTTGTTGTTGTTTTTTTTTTTTTAGAATTTTAATTAAGATTGTTAAGATAACTAAATTAAAATAACTTTAAGACATGTTGGGCTACCCTGGAAGTTAGCTGAGACACCCTTGTGTCTGACCCTCTGGTTGAAATGGTTCAAACCATGTGCTGTACTTGACAGCACATTCATAAGTTTATTTTTAACAAGATCTCTAATTTTAGTTTAATCTTGATATTTTATGTGGTACATTTTGGCATTGATTATTTTGTGATCGTGTCACAATGTAATGCCGACTTTGCAAAGAGGCTGTTGAATGATGGGGCAGTTAAAAATGCTAGTCGACAGCAAAGAAAGGTCAGGGAGAGGGAGGAAAGCAGTCATTATAACTAGAACTCAGGGAGCAGCGTTCAGTAATAAAACAAAAATGTATGACAAGACATTTTAAAAGGAACATTAATTTTATGTATTTATTTTTTTACAATTGGTTGTCCAATTTAACAGAATGTGGTCTAAGATGGAAGAAAGCTTAAAGATTAAGTATGTTAATTCTGTGCCACCAAACAGAATTGTAAAATAGTTACTGTTTTAAACAGGTTTTCTTTGGTCTCTTATTGGTCTGATCAATATGTAATCCCACTCCACATTCACGCCACTGCTTGAGCTAGTGTTGCTGGTTGAGATTCAGAAATTGATAGCACCATAGTGCTTACAGTTCTTAGGGAAATCAACTACAAATTCAATTCAAGTTTATTTATATAGCGCTTTTTACGATACAAATCGTTGCAAAGCAACTTTACAGAAAATCAAGTTTCTACAATATTTAGTAGTAGCTTATCAGTGGTGACTGTCAGTTAATGTACATATGGCTGAAATTGACATAAAAATCAATTAAAGATGTAATCAAACAGACGATGAACACTATTAACAGCAATTATTATATGATGCAATCAAACTTATAGCAAAATGTGGTAGTTCTGTATGTTGTTTCAGGGTTGGCATCATCTGAGGTCTTCTGAGGGGTTGGCATCATCTCTTCTCAGGTGTTCTGGATCCAGACTGAAGCTTGTGTACAAAAACAGAGAAACAAATAGAGACATAATAAGCGTAGCTGCTGTTCCAACCAACCAAAATTGATTTGTTTAACCCAAGCTAAAGAATAATAATGTGCGTTTGATCAGATATAACTGAAGTACAAGATTATGAGATGCATTATTTGAATGCTTGGCTAAAGAGATGTGTCTTTAATCAAGATTTAAACAGAGAAAGTGTGTCTGAACCCAGAATGCTATCAGAAAGGCTATTCCAGAGTTTGGGAGCCTAATGCAAAAAAGCTCTACCTCCTTTAGTGGACTTTGCTTTCCTAGGTACTACCAAAAGTCGGATTCTGTGTACTGTTTATTGGTCCAAAACTAGCAATGAGATGCAGCCTTGGTCTGACGCAAGAAGCAATTCATTTGTAATTTTAACAAGTGCAGTTTCTGTGCTATGGTGGGGCCTGAAACCTGAAATTCTTCATAGAGAATTTTTTTGCAGGAAGAAGCGCAATTGAGCAGATACAACTTTTTCTGAAATTTTAGACATAAAAGGAAGATTTGAGATGGGTCTGTAATTTGCCAGTTCACTAGGATCTAGTTGTGGTTTCTTAATAAGAGGCTTAATAACCGCCAGCTTGAATGGTTTTGGGACGTGACCTAAAGACAAGAGTTAATAATATTGAGAAGCGGTTCTTCTGCTACAGGTAACAACTCTTTCAGTAATTTAGTGGGTACAGGATCTAACAGGTATGTTGTTGTTTTAATGCATCATTTGTATTATCAATGTGAATGTTAAAATCTCAGACAATTAGTGCTTTATCAACAGTAACCAATAGGTCAGAGAGGAAATCTGCAAATTCTTTTAGGAAATCTTTATACGGCCCTGGTGGTCTATACACAGTAGCCAGAGCAAGAGATACGATAGATTTATTTTGCATATCTGACAGTGTAACATTAAGCAGAAGTATTTCAAATGAGTTAAACCTGTATCCTGTTTTCTGAGTAACATTGAGAATATCACTATATATTATTGCAACTCTGCCGCCACGACCAGTCTGATGGGGCTCATGCTTATCAGTAGCTTGGTGGAGTAGACTCATTTAGACCAATATAATCATTTGGTTTTAGCCAGGTTTCAGTCAAGTAGAGTACATCAAAACTATTACCTTTGATGATTTCATTTGCAAAAACTGCTTTGGGTGCGAGTGATCTAATGTTTAGGAGCCCAAACTTTTAAAAATGGTTTTTGTTCATTTTTTTTTTACATTTTTTCTGGTTTAATCACGATCAGATTTTTTTCTAGATCCTGCATTCCTTTCGTGTCCTCGTTGATACGTGGAAAGCGGCCCTGACACGATCGTTCTTCGCAGGCGATGTGCTGCACACCGTCTCGATCAGGCTCCTGAAGTCCCTCTTCAGTGTCTCCATCTGCCGCAGCTTGGTGTTGTTAACCCCCGCGTGAAGCACGAGCACTCGTGCAAATGGCTTAGCCTGATTGATATTTCATGCGTTATTGATTTAACATGGTGTAATTGTATGATTTCCATTTCTGTAGACTTGCTAAACCGCACAATAGTAAACCAACCTTTTGTTGACTCTGAATAAACCATTGTTAAACATTTGAGCTCAAAACCTTTCCTGCTGTAAATGAGGCATTGTGTATTCAGTGCGCTGTGGCCCGGACAGCTGATCCCAGGTGTCTGTTCTGTTAGCCCAAGGCGAGAGAGCAGACAGGGAGGAAAAAGGAGCAGAGCAAAGGTTCTGCACAGCTCTCCTGATAGATGAAAGATAAATCGACTCTATCAGTCTGTTACCCCCTTCTCCTCCTCAGCTCTCCTCTTTCAATCCCCTTCCTTTCTGCTGTTTTACTCTCTCTCTCTTTGTCTTCGCTTCTCTTTCCTAGGTGCCTAATCCAAGAGAAAAATCCATTCTGCTGGTGAAAATGATGACCTACATTGAGAAGCGCTTTCCTGACGACCTTGAATTGAATGCCCAGTTCCTGGACCTCGTTAAATACGTCTACAGGTAATTACCCCGATTAATCCCAGGGTCCGCCGTCCGTGCTGGCCTTCCATCTATTGCCATTATCAACAAGACTGGCTGGTCGGTGGTAGGCCCCATTTTGATTGCTAAAGTTGGGGCTGGGGGTGGTGGGGCAATTTGCATTAGGGGTTACCATCACCCTGGGCAAAAGAGCATTTTCCAGCGTCAGGAGCAGTTCATCCTGGTGAGAACCCATAGGCTTAAAGGATTAGTTCACTTCTGAATTAAAATTTCCTCATAATTTTCTCACCCCCATGTCATCCAAGATGTTCATGTCTTTCTTTCTTCAGTCGAAAATAAATTAAGGTTTTTGAGGAAAACAGTCTAGGGTTTTTCTCTATATAGTGGACTTCTTGTCTTATCTAGCGAAACGATCTGTCATTTTCTAAAAAGAAATTAAAATTTATATACTTTTTAACCTCAAACGCTCATCTTGTCTAATTCTGCGTGAACATGCAACACGTGAACTGCGTGTGCATTCCGGTTCATGACAGTTAGGGTATATCGAAAAACTCCCATCTCATTTTCTCCTCCAACTTCAAAATCGTTCTAAATCGTCCTACATCGCTGTTTTGCCATTTTTTGTAAAGGGCGTTTGACCTTCTTTGCACGTTCACTTTGTGAACACTGGGTCGGTACTTCTGCAGCGATGTAGGATGATTTTGAAGTTGGAGGAGAAAATGTGATGGGAGTTTTTCAACCTACCCTAACTGTTTCGAATGGGACTCCACAGAGTACACATGCACATTGCAGAGCTACACAAGACAAGCATTTGAGGTTAAAAAGTATATAATTTTTGTTCTTTTTTAGAAAATGACAGATCGTTTAACTAGATAAGACCCTTATTCCTCGTCTGGGATCGTGTAGAACACTTTGAAGCTGCACTGAATCTGCAATTTGGACCTTCCACCCAGTGAACCCCACTGAAGTCCACTATATAGAGAAAAACCCTGGAATGTTTTCCTCAAAAACCTTAATTTCTTTTCGACTGAAGAAAGAAAGACATGAACGTCTTGGTGGACATAGGGGTGAGTAAATTATGAGGAAATTGTAATTCAGAAGTGAACTAATCCTTGAAGTCAACAGCTGTAGTTGTATCTATGCTGGAACACCTGCAGTCCTTAATAGCTGTTGTTTACTAAAGACCCGCCATGTTGTGTTTATTGTCACTCTGCATTTCATGCCGTCTCAGAAGGTGAACACAACACCAGTCTTGCAGCATTTGTCTAAAGCGCTTTGGTATTTGTTTTTTTTTCAGAGATGAGAACCTCTCAGGAAGTGACATCACATCCAAGCTGGAGCCAGCATTCTTGTCAGGGCTACGCTGCACCCAGCCACTGATCAGAGCAAAGTTTTTCGAGGTGTTTGATGCATCAATGAAGCGACGAGTCTATGAGAGGCTTCTGTATATTTGCTGCTCGCAGAACTGGGAGGCCATGGGCAGCCACTTCTGGATTAAACAGTGCATTGAGGTACAGAATTTTTTTAAATTTTTTAATTTGTATTTTTTTTACTAGTTAACCCAATAAATGTTAATAGACTTTAAAAAAAACTATATATATAATAAATACAATAAATTAATAAAAATAAATAAAACCTAAAATGCTGATTGATTTAAATAAATGTATAATATATAAATATATAATTAATAATATTGTAATATTATTTAATATTTCTTGTTATAATTTGTAATATTATATAATTATATTATACATTTATTTAAATAAACTGTTTCATTTATAATTTCTGTGATATAACATTGCATGTCACACCGCAGGATATGTCTACAGAATTTTTTGCACATTAAAAAAAAACAAAAAAAAAGCCAATATATTGTACATCTTTAGTCGTGTTGTCAGCTCTATGCAGAGTGGATAATACTTCATAATTATGCACATGTTTAAATTACACAGAAGCTAATTTCACCTTGCATAGCAGTTGTATGCATACTGTATCATTTTAACGTCCCAGTTTTCCACTTGATGATTTAATCAAAACTTCAGTTGGATTTTAGATAATTATTCTTTTGGTGTTAATACATTCACCATGATGTAACAGCTCTGGTTTTTACCTGCTCCACTCAAGTCAGGTCACAATCCATCCATCTCAGCCTCAATCAATGCTACTCTGGCTCTTGAATTATTAACGCTGTCCTACACGTGGCGCGGCTGTGTGCGCGAATCAGCCTGCCATGATGGAGTAGAAGAATATTCACTGTTGGAGCTCTGCAGCCAGTCTCAAGCATATAGATATATATGCGCTAGGGGTTAAAATGACAGCTGTTAAACAATGCTGGCTCATGCAGGCGTCATTTATGTTTGAATGTTAGCTACTTTCTTCACAGAAGGAGCAGCTGTTTGCTTGTATGTTTTAGGAATCGTGGCAGTTCAGAGTTTGATTCTGTCGTCTCTGCTTCACAGCTGCTGTTGGCGGTCTGTGAGAGGAACACCACCATTGGCACCAGCTGCCAGGGCTCCATGCTCCCCTCCATCACCAACGTCATCAACCTGGCTGACAGCCATGACCGTGCAGCCTTCGCCATGGCAACGCATATCAAACAGGAACCTCGTGAGAGAGAAAACAGCGAGACCAAGGAGGAGGTCAGCTGTGCTATATAATTATATTATACAGTTATTTAAATAAACTGTTTCATTTATAATTTCTGTGATATAACATTGCATGTCACACCGCAGGATATGTCTACAGAATTTTTTTAACTTTAAAAAAATAAATAAATAAATGCCAATATATTGTACATCTTCAGTCGTGTTGTCAGCTCTATGCAGAGTGGATAATACTTCATAATTATGCACATGCTTAAATTACACAGAAGCTAATTTCACCTTGCATAGCAGTTGTATGCATACTGTATCATTTTAACGTCACAGTTTTCCCCTTGATGATTTAATCAAAACTTCAGTTGGATTTTAGATAATTATTCTTTTGGTGTTAATACATTCATCATGGTGTAACAGCTCTGGTTTTTACCTGCTCCACTCAAGTCAGGTCACAATCCATCCATCTCAGCCTCAATCAATGCTACTCTGGCTCTTGAATTATTAACGCTGTCCTACACGTGGCGCGGCTGTGTGCGCAAATCAGCCTGCCGTGATGGAGTAGAAGAATATTCACTGTTGGAGCTCTGCAGCCAGTCTCAAGCATATAGATATATATGCGCTAGGGGTTAAAATGACAGCTGTTAAACAATGCTGGCTCATGCAGGCGTCATCTATGTTTGAATGTTAGCTACTTTCTTCACAGAAGGAGCAGCTGTTTGCTTGTCTGTTTTAGGAATCGTGGCAGTTCAGAGTTTGATTCTGTCATCTCTGCTTCACAGCTGCTGTTGGCGGTCTGTGAGAGGAACACCACCATTGGCACCAGCTGCCAGGGCTCCATGCTCCCCTCCATCACCAACGTCATCAACCTGGCTGACAGCCATGACCGTGCAGCCTTCGCCATGGCAACGCATATCAAACAGGAACCTCGTGAGAGAGAAAACAGCGAGACCAAGGAGGAGGTCAGCTGTGCCATTCAGTGTATACAAACATCTGTACAAAAAGCTTGTTTGTGCCTTTATTACCTAATTTAGCTGATTCTCGTATCAATTTCTGATATATAGAGAAAGTTTTAATTACATTATCACAAAAGTGATGTGATCACCAATGATCTATTTCTATTATTTTTGATCATTTCTATTTCTGATTATTTTTCGTCTGTAGGATGTGGAGATAGACATCGAACTGGCACCTGGTGACCAGACCAGCCTCCCTAAGACCAAGGAGCAGGCGGAGAGAGATGCAGGCAACCAGCTGCACATGCTCACCAACCGCCACGATAAGTTCCTGGACTCCCTGAGAGAGGTCAAGGTGAGCCATCACCTCAACATATGCTGCCCTCACGAGTGCACCCCTTAAGCATTAGGAAAAATAAAGCAAAACTTAAAAATAAAAAAATACACTGGTTACATAAAGGACACATGCAGGAATGAGTCACATGCAAAAGTTATACAGGCTTTTGAACAGTGTAGTTTAATATGTGCCTTTGGTTCTGGCTCCTTTCATCTCTAACCTGCTCTTCCTCATTTGGCTGCTCCCTCATAAGCGTCTCTGTTAAAGAGAGTTTGATCAGGGCAACATGGGATTCTGTCTCTTGAGTTCTTTGAGGTCATAGCGTCATTGATTTCTATTTAATCCTAGACATGCTGCTGCTTTATATGCACCTCTCAAGCAGGCTTTAGATAAATGATGAAGTGAGGAGTTCAAAGCCCTGACCTGCCTGCGTTGCCCACCGGAGCCGCTGTCAGGAGCCACAGCACACATTTGAGTTCTGACTTATGTTAACATCTCCATTCCTCTTGTGGTCAGAGGTCCAAACCTTTACGTGCAGTCATACCCTAAGAATTTTTCAGTGGCAAGAGGTGATGACCAGTCATGCTTATGAACGTACAGTGATCCCTTATGAAAATACATTTTTAAAAAGGAATAGTCAATTTTGTCCTTGAATGTCTGGTGTCATGTGTAAAGATGAAATCTTTCTTATTTTGTATTTTTTCTTCTGCAAACGTGACATGATACATGTAGAAAGCAAGTGTGTATCACAGTGTCAAGAATAGTGTGTATTAAGCAGGGTTTTATAGTTGGCTAAAACTAAAACCATATCATTTTGTTACTTGAAATAAATGTTAAATTGTATAGAAGATATATATACAGTGGGGCAAATAAGTATTTGATACACTGCTGATTACCACAGCACACATTTGAGTTCTGACTTATGCTAACATCTCCATTCCTCTTGTGGTCAGAGGTCCAAACCTTTACGTGCAGTCATGCCCTAAGAAATTTTCAGTGGCAAGAGGTGATGACCAGTCATGCTTATGAACGTACAGTGATCCCTTATGAAAATACATTTTTAAAAAGGAATAGTCAATTTTGTCCTTGAATGTCTGGTGTCATGTGTAAAGATGAAATCTTTCTTATTTTGTATTTTTTCTTCTGCAAACGTGACATGATACATGTAGAAAGCAAGTGTGTATCACAGTGTCAAGAATAGTGTGTATTAAGCAGGGTTTTATAGTTGGCTAAAACTAAAACCATATCATTTTGTTACTTGAAATAAATGTTAAATTGTATAGAAGATATATATATATATATATAAATGCAGCTAGTTGTTCAGGCAACATATATCATTTTCGTTTAGTTTGACTTTGTTCTAAAATAACTAAAACAAATTTTTAAAAATTAAGTTTATATAGATATTTAAGAACAAAAACTAATAAATGTTCATTAACAAAGGTGTCCTGGTAGACTTTGGAACTGAGACAAGGTGCATTTCTGTTAATCGGCTGAGCTGGCACTGTTATCAGCCAATGCGATAATCTCAAGTGGCTAAATGTCGGTTGATTAATGGCCGATATATATTGCCTATCTCTAAATGAGTCTCCTGTGTGTGTAATCAGACGGGAGCACTGCTGAATGCACTGGTTCAGTTGTGCCACATCTCCACCCCATTGGCTGAGAAGACTTGGGTCCAGCTCTTCCCCCGCCTATGGAAGATTCTGTCGGACCGACAGCAGCATGTGAGTACTTGACTTTCCCAGTTCTCCAAAGAGCTGAGCTGACAGTTGGCCATTTTCCTCTAAACATTTTCCATGTCAATGCAGCGTATGACTGCTGCTCATTTTAACTTGACCTTTGTTATGGTTGAAGTGTAGACTGCATGTTTTACTACTAATAATGCATATCACTGCAGAATCGGCATGCAAAATGTGTGTTAATGGTGTCGGATGTTGTGCCTATCCGCTCATCTTGGAGACCTTTGCACGGGTGGGGGGTATGGCGGGCTGTCTTTCTGCCCCTGCCGCTGAACTTAAACAGGCAGCATTTGCTAATGAGCAGAAATTAAACCTTTTATGCAAATATCAGCGTTTAATGGACCAGATGTCTTAAGTATTAGAATTCTCATTAAAGGGCTTTAATTTGGAGTGACTGAGGCTGTAGACTATTACAACACACATTCAAAATAGAAATCTTCCACTTCGTAGCTTTTTATTGTAGGAGGTATAAAAACTAGGACATATTTACTGCATCAGTTTATTCCTGCAAATTATAGTAATCCAAAAGTCTTTGTGTAACGTGGGCTATTTTTCTTTAGAGTTGACATTCCTATTGAATATTTATAGCAAATTCTCGTTGACGTTTGGTGAGGAACTACTTTCCTACATTTCATTTTAAACATTGTCAAGTTTTCATCAAAGTCATACTTTTTAATTTAGTTTTTTTTATTTTATTGTAGTAGACCGTATTAAAATTCAGGCTGTTATTAAACTGTTTGACAATCAGTCAATCAAATCCGTTCTTAAATTTTTTTTCTTCCCCTCATTACATTTGTAGTTTATTTTTATTTTTATGAATTTATGGTATGGATATTCATTTTGAGGTTTGCTGAAGATTACTTGTAACAGCATGTTTTTTTTAAGTTGAACTAGAGTGAGCACTAGGTGATGGCAAAGGTAAACTAAATATAAAAATAATGGAAATCAACATGAATTATTAAATATCCGATGCTGGATTCTGACAATCAATAAAAAAAAATCTCTGTTTTTCACTCTTAATTTTGGTCTTACGTATCCATTTTTGCAGGCAATCTCAGGCGAGATGGGTCCGTTCCTGTGTAGCGGTAGTCATCAAGCTCAGAGAGATTGCCAGCCCAGTGCTCTAAACTGCTTTGTGGAGGCCATGTCTCAGTGCGTGTCGCCCATACCCATCAGGCCCTGCGTGCTGAAGTACTTAGGAAAGACCCACAATCTATGGTTACGCTCCACCCTGATGCTGGAGCAGCAAGCCTTTGAGAAAGGCCTTAGCTTGCACATCAAACCCAAACAGAGCACAGAGTTCTATGAGCAAGAAAGCATCACTCCTCCACAGCAGGTACACTGATGCATGAGCCCTTCTTCTTTGTTTGTTATTGATATTCTTGGCAGAGGAAGTTTTGTGTTCACTCAAAATGAACTTGTGTGCTGAATTTCCAATTGGCTTTGTTTTGACCTGTCAGTGAGTTCAGTTTGAAGTATCCCAGCATTCAAGCTGCTTATGCTAAGCAGTCATCTCATTGGGACACCTCTGAATATGGATGTGTTTGTCCCCTATATTCTTTGAAGATGTGTTCTTGTATTCCCTCAGGAGATCCTCGACTCGCTGGCGGAGCTCTACTCCCTACTGCAGGAAGAGGACATGTGGGCGGGGCTGTGGCAGAAAAGATGCAAGTTCCCTGAGACGAGCACCGCCATTGCATACGAGCAGCATGGCTTCTTTGAACAGGTGAGAGACTGAAGTGATTGTATCGCCATGCATGTTTTTGGCAAAATTTGAATGAATAAATCAAAAAGAAGGGCTGCACAGTTGATCAAATCATGATATGGACTAGTGTCTATAAATATTACACCCTGTCCTCACTTCACGCAACACGATGCTGCAACACGCAATAAAAGGTATCTTTTCCATATTAATCTTGAGTTTTTGTCCTAACCAGTCGCGACGACGTTTCTATTTCTGCGACGTCGCAGCTGGAACAACAACATACAAACTATGACAATGATGATCTCAGGTACTGAATATATGCTTCAGTCAATGTTAAATGTGTCTAATGTCAGTTTAAATGTATTGCATGCCATTTATAGACATACTGAAAGCAACAACAGATAGTTTACCTCAGATCTTGAAAATAAATTAAAGCAAACATGTAGGTTAAAACTGCGAGCTCAATGCGAACCAACAAGTGCTTTCCATGACAAAGATGGTATCAGTCACTTGTACTTTTAATAATGTTAAAAAGGTTTCATATTTATGAATTAGATTATAAACTTGTCCATTTCATTGGGAGTGCAGTGCACTTTTGAATGGCTGTGATATTACAGTGATTCTGTCTCGTCGTGTCGAGTTTGGTGTAGAAAGCAAATTGCTTGTCGCTGGAATCTCGTCGTGTCGCGTCTGGTTAGGACACGGTGTTGAACTGCAAAAAGGCTGTTCAAATTTCATGTGTTTACATTTTAAAGGATTAATTACATTGTTAAAGTTCGTCCCTATGAATTGTCCCTCTTATATTTTAAGATGATGTAACAATAATGCTGGTTCCATCATCATTAGGCTCAAGAAACCTATGAGAAGGCAATGGAGAAAGCTCGCAAAGAGCACAATGTCTCGCCCGCCATCTTCCCAGAGTACCAGCTGTGGGAGGATCACTGGATACAGTGAGTTGAATGGCCACAACCCAGGCAACAAAATTACAACCAATAAGACACCATTAAGATACAGCTGTGTGGAATAGGATTTCGGACTAGTAACCAATATGATTTGATGGTGCAAATGGAACCAGAAGACCAACAGAGACTGACCAAAATTGCACTCTCAAAGTTTTGTTTTGCATTGCTAAGTTTTTTATCGAAGTCAAAATTTATAACACTTTATAAATAAAGTCTCAAATTCAGTTTTTGTGCGCCACACACATTTAATGAAATTCATAAACATTCTGGACTGTTTGTTAAATTCTAATGTAATGTAATACAATAAATCTAAGTGTTACATTGATTTCCAGTTGTTCTAAAGAGCTGAACCAGTGGGAACCTCTGACTGAGTACGGGCAATCTAAAGGCCATAACAACCCATACCTGGTGCTGGAGTGTGCCTGGAGAGTGTCTAACTGGGCTGCAATGAAAGAGGCTCTAGTGCAGGTAAACTCAGTACCACACTCCAATCAACACAGACAGGGTTTTAAAGTTCATGTCTGATTGTACATGCTTTATTTGAGGAAATGTGTACTTGATCTGAATACTTGTGAAGTTCACAATCAGTCTATAGATACATACACTACCATTTAAAAAGTCTGGAGGCATTAAGATTATTTTAATGTGTTGAAAGAAGTCTCTTATGCTCACCAAGGAAATTATTTGATATTTGATCAAAAATACAGTAAAGTAAGTTGAAACATTAATATTGTGAAGCATTATAAATTAGAGCATAATAAATTAGAATGTCGTGGAAAAGTTAATTTATTTCAGTAATTCAACTCAAATTGTGAAACTTGTGTATTAAATAAATTCAATGCACACAGACTGAAGTAGTTTAAGTCTTTGGTTCTTTTAATTGTGATGATTTTGGCTCACATTTAACAAAAACCCACCAATTCACTATCTCAACAAATTAGAATATGGTGACATGCCAATCAGCTAATCAACTCAAAACACCTACAAAGGTTTCCTGAGCCTTCAAAATGGTCTCTCAGTTTGGTTCACTAGGTTACACAATCATGGGGAAGACTGCTGATCTGACAGTTGTCCAGAAGACAATCATTGACATCCTTCACAAGGAGGGTAAGCCACAAACATTCATTGCCAAAGAAGCTGGCTGTTCACAGAGTGCTGTATCCAAGCATGTTAACAGAAAGTTGAGTGGAAGGAAAAAGTGTGGAAGAAAAAGATGCACAACCAAACGAGAGAAC